CAAACCTCGTTTTCGGACATGAACCTGCCACTTCGGTGGCAGAAGTTGTGTAAGTTGGCTACGCCGAAGTGGGATGGGTTACTGCTTAAAGTGGACCAACATCTGGAGGTTGACCCATACCCAGCTTTGTCTGAAAACTGGGTACCCCAATATCCCTCATATCTGGAGCAAATTTGGGCATCCCCTCCCACTCCCAGTGTAGAGCCGGCACCTTCCGCATGGCCCGGATGCCTTTATCCTCAGATGGACTGTGTGTTTTTGGGGGCCGGGAAAAGGCTGAAAGGCTACGATGGTTTCGCAAAGATTTTGACTTCCTGGTGCTTAATATATCAGGAATTGGGAATTATCTATAATAACCTATTATATATATATACATATATATATATATATTATAACCATTGACAATCATCCCATTCCCCCAGTCCCTACTAAGCACCACCAGGAGACTTCACCTAATCGTTTCCCAGCGCCACTCTGCCGGCGCAGCTCTGCTTATGGTATGTTCATTGAATTGTCAAACATTCTCAACTACCCTCTGGTAAACGTTTACATAACTGTGGAAAATCACCATTTTTAATGGGTAAATACACTATTTCTACTGGGCCATTTTCCATGTCGCAAACTGTTAGTCATTACCAGAGGGTATAAAATATCGAAATATCATGAGTTGACTCAGTGGACTCCGTTTCCAAGTCTCCAGGACAATCATCTCTTGGCGAAGCTTCAGGAGACCCTCGATGAACTCCCGCAGGGAAATTTCACCTGGAGTTGAACAGTTAGACTCGTTAGACCATTTACAGAGCTAAAAAAAAACAAACATTTTATTGTTTATATAATGAGGATTTATATTAAGTATATTAACATTTTATTACATTGGTTTAGTAATGTGTCTATAGCCATGTTTGGCCATAATTGTGATTTAGTTGGGATGTAATTGGGCTACAGTTGGGATACAATTGGGATAAAATGGGATACAGTGGGGACATACTTGGATCTATAACAAACACTATCATATTGGAAAATGACGATAAACCAGTGGATGGCACGGGTTACCTGAACTTTGGATACCTAAACCGACATCGATTACGGGAAAAAAAAATGAGATGCGCCACGGGATGGTATTCCAACACGTGAGATCGTGTCCCAAGCGGTCCCAAGTGAGGTGAAACTCCAATGAACCAATTCTATCCAATTGTGAAAAGAATCGAAGCCACCTGAATCAGTCTAGACCAGCAGACTAGGACTGGGAGACAATGCTGAAGCTGTCGGGAAGGCAGAAGGGCAAGCAACAGCAGCCATCACAGCACAGCAGACAGGGGCAGCGAAGGCAAGGGTACTTGAAAGGCTTAGGGCGCTACGGTGAATAAGGCACATGATCCAGGGCGCATATTCCATCCACCCAAAGCTGGCATACTCAAAGCAAGCGAAGGGACAGCAAAGCTGTGGGGGAAACTGCGGAATAGATTCTCTGGCAAAGTACAAAGCCTTGCTGTCAGAAAGATGCAGTCATCAAAACATATTGAACAATCAACAAGCCACAGTTCAATTTTATTATTGATGTAAAAAACATTCAAAAATTAACATGTGGCTGGCAGTCAATTGCACACAAGACAGGTATCCAAAGTTGATGCCATAGTCTCCAATATCCCAACATCAACTAATGACTAATTCACAGTACATAGCGATGTTGAAAGAGTTGTGGCTGCATTGTCTTCCCCCTCCTAGACCAAATTCCACACCTGAATCATCCACATCCATTCGCACGAAAAGGAGCTTCACGTCTCCCACAACCACGCCCAACCTTAGAATGTCATCTCCTAAAGACTCCGTCAGAAGGCTGGCAAGGTGTCTTTTTTCAAAGGAATGTTTTTAGCCCAAAGTTTGATCCCTACCACTATGCAGATCCTTTTCTGTCGCGAATTCGCCCATTGGATCTTTCGCAGGAAGCTGCAAAATGCAGCTGTGACACTCCTCCAAACTCGCCATCACCCGGGGTTGCTGCACTGCCTCAGATGTGAAATATGTGAAGCTGCCGGAAGTCCTCCACATCTTGAAGAAATGAACGGCCCAATAAAATCCGAATTGGGCCTATTACTAAGCAGTGTGTAGAGACCAAAATCATGGAAGTATCCCAAAAAATGCCACGATTGCCATAGATTCAGTCGCATCATGTCATTCAACGATTATGATGTTCTCACGAAGCTCTGTGGCTGCATGGACCGGGAATCCTACAAAGGTATCCCAGCAGAAACAATTGAAGGATGCCAACCTCATAGTCTTTTCTGCCTGTAGTTATCAAAGGCAATTATCCATTGATAATTCTTAAATCACTCCGCATATGCATGTTAAAAAATGTTATCAATCATCCTCTTTTGAGGCAGTAATCTGAATCCTTTTGACCTCTGCCATTCCTGTCCCCTGCCGCCTCCACAAACTCATGCACCGTCAGCCAGCCAGAGCCATCCTCATCAGCATCCGTAAAGATCCGAGTCAACAGGGCAACCAACCTCAGGTGTAGTGCATAGAGGATGCTGCCATACGACCAAGGCCTGAATGTGGCATCAGTGGCATCAATCAATGAATCCCTATATACAGATACATATATATATATATGTACATATATATATATGAAAATGAATCCATAGAAAATGAACATTGGTCAAAATCCGAAGACAAAGAAGTGCCTACAAGTCTCAGTTCTGGCCGGATCCTGAACCCAGTCATCTCTAAGCCCAGAGGCAGGATGGAGACTGGATGGCTCCGCAGTAAACCAATAGCCACGTATCACCCACATTTCAACTCCCGTTGAAGGATTTCTCTAAAATGTTAGGCACTGGTTTCAAACCTCGTTTGATCTTGTTTTGACAACCCCAAATCATAGTGTTGACTAGTTATCATCTCCATTTACTAGTTATCATCTCCATTTTTCAGATTGTCGGTTAAATGCTTGGTCTATACCTCACTTATTCCCCAAGCCTCAACGGGGCAATGATTTTTGCTCACCATTTTCCCATCACAGCCCTCCGCCCTGCGGCTTCCTGGGGCTTCCAGCTTCACGGTTTGTGGGTCACCTCCCGCCACCAGGTACCCCGCTTCTTCCATCTCTGCCGCGCGTCCGGCACGCAGGGCCTGCCCGCCGAGCCACGGGACAACGCAGGTCGCCGCCAGATGAAGACATAGGGGTCAAGCATCCAAAGTGGGAATATCTTGACCACCATTGAACATCCAAAATTACATACATACATACATACATACATACATACATCCATACATACATGCATGCATGCATGCATACATACATACATACATACATAATTACATAATTACATAATTACATAATTACATAATTACATAATTACATAATTACATAATTACATTACATATCATTACATTACATTACATTTACATTGCATTACATACATACATACATCCATGCATGCATCCATCCATCCATCCATACATCCATCCATCCATACACATACACATACATACATATATATACAGATATATATATATATGTGTGTGTGTACGTACACTATATATATATATATTTATTTATTTAAAAAAAATATACGTATATGTAGATTTACATAGATATAGATTTAGACATAGACACAGACATAGATATAGATATAGATATAGGTATAGATATAATTGTATATATATATATACATAGTCTAGTAGGTATAGACGGTATAGATGTAAAAAGATATTATGATGAAAACTGGGCAGCAGCAGATGCGGGCAAGCGCCCCTTTTATGCTCGCTTGAGCCAGCAGGCTGCCGGCAGGTAAAAGTCGGCCAGTGCTAGGCCTCGGCATGTACATGTGATGCGCACTCGGTCAGTCCATGTCATGGGTCAGTTTCACACCCGTAACTTTTCTTCTGATCAGAGTGCTCCTGCAGCATCATTTGCAGGGTAAAACCACTAGCTGTCGATGCTCGGTTGCTGCAGCATCATTTGCAGCCAGCCAGTCTTCATCAGCTCATCCATTTGTGGGCTTTTCATACCCTTCGTCGTGAGCAGGCATCGTTTTGGTTGCCACACATGAGCACAAGGTAGTGCGGTCGGTGGGCAACTCATCACTGTAGGTTGGGTTTCCAACCAGGTTTCCACGTTCACGCCACAGCTCCTGACGTAGACTCGTCAGGTCAATGGCAAGACGTTTGTCTGATACTGCAGCTGCATTCACATTGGTGAGGTGGTCAGACAGGCTTCGGCAGTCAGTGTACCAACTGACAACTGTCTCATCCATGGGATTGATGAAGTTCTCGGTGCGCTTCAATGCCGTCGCCTTATTCTTGACCACATAGAGCAATTGGCGCATATGCTCTGCATCTTCACTGCCCAGTATGAAAACTGGGCAGCAGCAGATGCGGGCAAGCGCCCCTTTTATGCTCGCTTGAGCCAGCAGGTTGCCGGCAGGTAAAAGTCGGCCAGTGCTAGGCCTCGGCATGTACATGTGATGCGCACTCTGGTCAGTCCATGTCATGGGTCAGTTTCACAATATAAATATAGATACAGATATAGATATATATAGATAAAGATAGAAATAGAATGATGGTTGTTCAACGCTTTTCATGCAGCTGGCATTTTTTTGACATGCTCACGCCTCGGGCAAGGAATCCAGCAGAAAGTCCAGTAGCCTCGCATTTCTCTCCACATCTTAAGCTACCACGGTAGCGTCACGCAATGGGCTGCCAGAATCCCACCATTGATGTTTGGAGAAAACAGGTTTTCTTTACAAGTACTACCTGTTTTTCAAATATGTTTCAAGATTGAACTTGTAGTTCTTTACCTTCCTGGTTTCAACTCTCAAGACGCCCTGCCCTGGTTTCAGTGCTCTTTCGGCACCTGTCCGCCAGCTGATCGATGGGGAAATCTCCAGAAAGGTATACCGCCGCGGCGGTGCAAACCAGGAACTCACTCCAGCCTTAAGGAGCTCCGGGAGCTCCGGGCTGCGGGCCATCGGCATACCCCAACCAAAAAGGCTCCAAAAAACGGTGGATACGAGCCAATGGGATTGGCAATTTTTTCACAGACCCAATTGTGGTACGTGTTTTGCATCGAAACAGCAATTCACTTACAGTAAGTCCCGGTATTCTCTCTGAGTTGGAAGATCAGTCTCATGCTCCTCTGAGCAGCTCAAGACCATGTGTCGAAGGCTCCGATGTTGTTCCACACAAAGCTCCTGAGGATTCTCTGGGTGCAAGTCTGAAAATCTTGGGATCATGGAAAATCTATGAATAAATCTCCTGTTGTTTACAAGCTCATGCTCCCCATTGAAAGGGCCCTTGATTTTCGGACAAACCCAAGTCGCCAGGGTCCGCCCTCCCTGCAGTGATATTGCAGTCTGTGGCCCTATGAGCTATGAAACCATCTATTACTGGTTGGTGGTTGGTGTTTCAACCCCTCTGAAAAATATGAGTTCGTCAGTTGGGATGATGAAATTCCCAATATATATGGAAAAATCATAAAATTCATGTTCCAAACCACCAACCAGACCATCTATTAGCTGTTCCCCGACCCCCAAACGAGATGTAGGACACCTTGCCCAGCCTTGCCCAAAGCGAAGGCCATCCGGAAGTCCGGCCATTCCAACGTGGGCACTTTGCAATCCTCCAAAAATTGCACGAAGGCGCTGTAGGACATCCTCGATCGATCCCCTTGGGATCCCAAGGATTCCCAGCTTCGATGCGACAGCAGCTGACCCACATGGTTTTTTGCAATATATTACATATGTTTTTTTTCAACCCAGTGACCAGGTGCCAGAATCCACTCTGCGCCAAGAATCAAGCTTGGCTCAGTAGGGAGGCGAAAGCGCTTCTGATAGGTGTTGTACACGTCCTGGAAGAGGGTTTCTATCATCACACGCCATCGTGAAGACTTGATCATCTCTGTATGATGTCCGTGCATGTATATGTGCATGTGTATGTCCGTGCGAATGTGTTGCATGCGTAGGTGTTTGTGTATATGTACATGTACTGTACATCATATGTTTTTTTTTACAATTGTTTTCATATACACATATGCACAAATACTGTGAGAAAAAGAGAAAGAGAGAGAGAGAGAGAGCGCTGTATGAATTCTGTGTAGTATGTGTACGATATCTAGCATTTGTCGGATATGTAGAAATGTGGATGTGTACATGCATGTGCAATTATGTAAGTACACATAGAATGATGCATCTAAAATATGATGTTTGTGCGCAGATGTATCCGTAAGTCTATATTTAATTGATCTATTCCCTATTTAAATAAGATACAGATGATACATTCACACACTTTTGGCTTCTGATCTCTCACGTTGTAGGTCTCTGGTTGAAGAAATCCATCGCAGTCGCCTGTAACATCTTTAGATTTCTGCGCATGCAGTGGCAAAAATCCTCCGTGAAGATTGCCGCCTCAGCGTCGTCTGGGACCGACCAACGCACCACAGTCCAGGGGGTTGTTTTGTGGAGATTCATCATCATATAGACTCGTGTATACTATTTGGCAAAATGTCTGAAAATGTCGTGTATAATCAGGGAAACGGATGATTTTACCATTCAGCGTGTTCCGTCCCATGCAGTCAAGCTTCATGCAGCATTCTCCTGACTTTGGCCGCTTGGCCAGTTGAGAATGCGTTCTGGTAGCAACACATAGCAACGAAGAAGAAAATAGAAAAGTCAAATCCTAAAATCCATGGTTTAAATTACCATCCAACTGAAAGCATTTTAACATCCAACATCATCTAACTAGGACTGTAGGATTTAACCATTGGTCCATTGCTCCGGTCTCCTGTGTTTCATGACCTGCTGCCCCAGGCCCAAGCACTTGATCCAATGACCTCAGGGCATCTCGGAATTCCACACTATTCCCACACTATTCAATCGTTTAAATGGTCACTTCCCCTACTGATTCATGATATTCATGATATTCATGATATTCATGATATTCATGATATTCATGATATTCATGATATTCATGATGTATCATGTAACATTCATTCCCTCTTGAAATGGCCGTAACATGCCGTAACTGGTGGGGATTTCTCCCCACATTGGTCCAGCCCCAGTGGCGCAAGGTGCCAACTGGACTGAAGGTCTCTGATGACATGGCGCAGTTCACTATCACCTGGCATTGATGGGGGGGTTCTCCAAGCATCTTGGAAAATGGATCAACTTTAAAGAAAATCGATTGGAAACCCTGGGAATTTGGCTCTCTGTGGGAACGGACCTCCAGGAATTGGAATCGAGCAAGTCCATCTGCAGGTAAACCCTTCCAAGCCCTTAGTCCAACCATGAGGTGAACTCTAGTGGTGAGAAGTGCATCCTGTGTAGAAAGTAACACTTAACATGTAGATATGATTGGATATGTACCTATTAGAACCAACTAAAACTGAATGAATTTAAATATGAATATGTCGAATATGTATTTGCAAGCTCCTGTTCCCAGGCATCCAGGAGCACAGAATCGATGCCCGACCATCCCGACCCAGTCCGCCAGTCCGCCAGTCCGCCATGTCGAGAGTCTTCGAATCTAAATGATCCAAGTCTACCAACACTGCAGTGTAGATGGCGTCAGCTTTGCCAAAATTGAAGCCTTCCCGAGGGGCGCAAGTGGAATGCGCGATCTAAGTGTCCCACGCAATCTGCAAAAAACAATGACAAAATATGAACGTCCCTGTGGCATTGCAGAAAGTACCCTGAATCAAGACATCTACCACCACCACCACCACCAACAACAACAACAACAACAATGTTAATTAACAAGAACAACAAGAACAACAAGAACTGATTCGTCCACATATATCCAGATGTCTCTTCTGCTGCTCCTCTTTTTCTTTTACTGTTTTTTCTTCTTTTTTCATGATTATTCTTTCTATTCTTACTATTATTACTTGTTATTACTAGTCATTACTATATTCTGCTTCTTCTGCTTCTTGCTTGTCTTTAGGTCTTCATGAACAACAATGTTGTAGACCTGAAAGTAGCACTCATCAACCGAAGCTCCGCAATGTTCAAGCTGTCTCCCTGCCTTCATTTAAAGGATGCGTCTCGTCAAGCTGCGAAACCATGACCGATCTCGCCTTCAGAATGTCTGCCGCTTGGGCACTTCGCGGAATCCTCCAAGATGTGGTCAAGTTGAGCCCAAAAAGATCCGGTTTTATGATATTTTTATCTTACGGGTGCTAAACGTAGGGATGGGAATGGGGGTTGCTGGGATGATTATTGATAGTTATTGTGGATCATTCCCGAAAATTCCCTGCTAAGCACCAGTAAGTTTTATTGAGAAAACATGAGAAAACTCTCTGCTTCCGTCTTGGACTCAAGTGACTCAAGTGACTCAAGTGTTGACCAGTCAGTCGGGAGACGAAATGTCTTGACTCGTACTTTTTGCATCTTTTGGCCATGTAAATCTGGACTTTAGGGAATACATGAGTTACAAGAGCAATAAAAAATCCAAATAAAAAGTGCATCTCTCCTGGGATTCCCCTCTGATAACTCCGTTGCGCGCTTTGAGCGACGGGACGGCACAGACGTCACATTGGCACGCATCGAACGCGACGTAAACATCGGAGAACTGCCTTGGAGGTACCTGGCATTTCGGACGGCCTGGTGTTACCCCGGTGGAGAAGAACATGCTGTGTAGCTCCAAAAGAAAAACTGCTCAACAAGACTAGAGAGGTTACTTCGCCTTCATCTGCTTGGCCTCATGGTGGAAAAATCACCCGCTACATCACTGCCACACGTCACTTGTTTCGACAGCCCCAGGTGTCATTCTCAAGCCGCGGTGCCCGGCCTTTCGCCGTCAGATCCCATCAACAAACGAGAGAAGGTGGCAAGGGACAGTCCGCAACTTTTGCCTCGACGCACACTTGGCATTTCTCGGCATCAAATGGAATGCCGAATAGAGGCTTCACCATTGATTTGGTCAAAAAAAGTGGAATCGCTGAATCACTAGAATCATAGATCATCTATGAATACATATATACATATTATATATTATGTGTATATGTTATCATACATAATATATCTTATGTGTGTATATATATGTATTATTATATATATATATATTATTATATATATGTAATGTATTGTCATGATATATCATCAATCACAATGAATAGTTCTACATCAAGGCCAAGATGCCGCTGCAATCCATCATTGACCTTTTGACAAGTTCGGTCGGCAAAAACTTCCCTGGAGATATGGGGAAAAACGGAATTCCCATGGATTATGATAATATATATATAATATAATATTAATATATATATATATATACATATTATTATCATCCGTAATATGTTTGGACTTGGATATCATTATATATCAATATATTATCATATAATTATTATATGTCATCCGCAATATATTGGATAGACTTAGTATCATCCCCTGTAATAATCAATACACATGAAACTTTCGAGACTGAGTTTCCAGAGGGCGTCAAAGAGCTTCAGGCGACATGGAAAGACTCCCCAGCGTTGATCAGTTGTGATCAGAGAGATATCTTGTAATGAGCAGCCAAATGTAGGTGTCCTAAAATGGGTTACCCATAAATCATCCATTTATAGATGGATTTTCCATTAAACCAACCAGCTACTGGGGATCTCCCATTTATGGAAACCTCCAAGTAATTTCGCCGGGCTTTGGGGACTATCCAAACCTAAGTGAACAGAGGCTTTCACTCACCATGGCGGCTCCCATAACCTCCCGAAAATACCCAAACAACTTGTGCAAAGCGACTCAAATCCATAGGCTGCTAGAAACGCTTCATACTGAGACTCCAAGAGGGTCAGAACCTTGGCTCAACTATGTTCGCAGTTGAGATTGACACTTGTCAAAATATGTGGGTGTGTTCTGAAAATGGTCTTTAATGTATACAGGAAAGATGATGATTGACGATGGGATTTAAACCAATGACAAACCCATGTCATAATGATTGGTACTTGACCTTGTCAAGAATCCGAAGCAACGTCACAACGGCGATCCTTTTGCAACTTTTTCCAGAGTCGGTCCAGCCTGCCGTGAGGGTAAGAGTCCAGAAAGCGACAAAGGCTTAGTGGATCCAAAGTCCACGTGAAGGAATTGACCTACCACAAGTTCCAATTTTCCAATGGCAGTCCTTTCTCATGAGTACAGTAGTACTGTACATAGAGATCTCCTGCTCCATGGCGCCTTGTAAGCGCATAGTCTTTGTAGAAGCATTCGCTAATGATGATCTTTGCATCTCTTGCATAGTCCTGTCACATTGTTTCAAAAAAATCTCTCAGAAGGTTTCTGAGACTTCCCAGGTATCTGCAACTCCGTCCTTGAAAATGGACTTCCCGAAGCTCCATGGCCGTTTCTCCACGCTCTCCGAAAGGGTGCGCGGTGCGACGCCCGTGCTGCGCAATCGTGGGTCCTCGAAAACAGCCGTTTGGGAAAAGATGCCTATTGCTGACAAATGGGGGACGAATGGATTCACTAAGGGAACCAACAAATTTCTTATGCTTTAGCATAATTTACTCTGAATCCATCTAGTTTTGAGTCAAACAGTTTTGGGCCACATGAAAGGACCATGGGCAGCAGAAACGGCCCAGCCTCCAACAAGAACAGCGCGTCACCGGCTCTTTGCTCGAAAATGGCTTTTGCACTGAGATGTACCTGCAATCACCAATCGGTACCAAGAAAATAAGTACCCTCTGGTGAACTAACATAGCCATGGAAAATGGCCCATTTATAGATGGTTTACCTATTAAAAATGGTGATTTTCTATAGCTATGTTAAACTACCAGAGGGTAATTAGATCATTCTGGCACAGTGCAACGGAGGAGCAATTCATGTTTGCACCAATCTGAAATCAAAAAAGATAATCAGTGCATAACTGAACTTGGCTCGTGATATTCAGCAGTTGTACTTGCAGCTGTGCATCCAAGTTCTTCAACCAAAAGCAGCTCTTTCCGAACTGGGCGTTGAAAAAAAAAAGTTCATTTGGAATATCCAATATACATATAGATATATATATATATCCAATATATAGATATATACATATGGATATATTGGATACAGTCCAAATCTTCTCAGTGTCGATGGAATTTTCCATCAAGGGGCACCTTTATCTCGTTGGCTTCAAAGATTTTGATGGCTTCTTTGTCCAAAGGAATTGGCAGCGGAGGACACGGATCCTGAGGATTCTGGCCTTACAAACACGGCACCGTCACGTCATCGCAGTTTGGATGCGCAAAACACGGCCCAAAAAAAGATGCAATCCACATTTCCAGGAGATGTGCAGAATCTGGATAAGATATATTAAAATATATTAAAATATATTAAAGTATATTAAATATGGATCAAAGATTCTAACTCCCTTTCCATATCCATATCATTCCATATCCCATCAAGCCCAGGATCGGCCGTCTCCATGCAGCTGGATGTAGGTCTCACTGAAGAGAGCGACCACCGGTAAATGCTTGGCGCAGCAAAGCTGCTGATTCACCTGGCTCCGGGGCGCAAGGAACATGTGTACCCGCAATCAAACATGGTTTGCTGGAAAATCCATGGTTGATGTTCTCATTGACACCGATTTTTTTTCAGAGGATTTCCAATTGCCATGGTTGATCACCGGAGGGTACCCTATATGAACGGGAGGATGACTGTCCAAAACGTCCGGCTCTTTGATGTGAACAGCAGGGTACCAGGATTTTTGTGACCCATTCCCAGATTTATTTGAGTAGCCATTAACATCGCAGTGCCGGCTATGTCGATGTTATATCAATTTGTTTGAAAACTATGGGAAAGCACCATTCTATCCCATGGTTTATAATGATGCTACCCGGTTACCCATTAAAATCGCACATTTACACCCAAATCCCCTCATATCTGGACAAAACCGCAACTTATATATAATTGGTTGTTGATACATAAATACGTGTATATATATATGTATATGTCTGTATATATATATATATTATACTATATTATATTATATTATATGATATTATATCATATCATATCATAGTATATGATATTATATATATTATATAATATGTGTATATATATACATAGTATATTATATTTTATATTATATTATATATATATATATATTACCTATATTATATATATATATATTGTATATAATATATATTATATTATATATATATATATTAGTATATACATATATATTATATTATATATATATATGAAAAACATATTAGATATATATATATTATATCATATCATATTATATATATATATATTATATTATATTATATTATATTATATTATATATATATATATATATGTTCTTAAATATTATATTATATATATATATTATTATATATATTATATTATATAATGTATATTATATATATTACATATATCATATATATATTATATATTATATATATAATATATATTATATATATATTATATTATATATATATTATATTATATATATATATTATTATATTATGTATATATATATTATATGTATATTATATGTATATTATGTATATTATATATGTATATTATATATATTATATATGTATATTATATATATATATATTCGTATATGTCTATTTATAATATATATATATATATGTATGTGAATTTGATTATATGATTACTATATTTCAACTGAGAGTTATTTTGATAGCTATATAGTTATATCACCAATATTTCACCAATACATCCCAAACAAATATCCCCATGAAATGCTTAACCCCGCTTTTTCCTGGTGCATGGTAAATCCCTCACTCTTTGATGTAAAGACTGACTAAAAATACGCAATATCTTGAGGTATATTAACTCCACCCCCATTTGTGGTGGTTCAAACCATGCCCCATGTTTTGGATGGTAGTCACATATGATAACTCAACCATACTCAACCCCTACCACCCTCCCCAACCACATCAACCACCATTCGCCTGAAAGATCACCTGGATACGCTCGTAGCTGGGCGGCAGCATGCGCGAACCGCGGAAGCAAATCACGCGACCATTTTCGAGGTAAGGCTCCCGTAGCCACCTTGGTCTGGGAAGATGTGCTGATGTGCTGGGTTTTCGCTCCCCAACTTTCTGAAAAGTCAAGGGGTTCTCGCGTTGACTTATATAAGTATGACTCAGTATGACTGGGAGAGCGTCATCTCCTTTTTCGCGAAAATCGAAAAGATGTCCAAACCACCAATCAGATTGGACATGATTGGACCCAATGGGTTGTCATATCCCAACATGTTTTTGGTGGGTTACCCAATCAGTCACAACATTGGTGGCTTGTACCAGTTGTTGGTCCAGCATCACCAGCATGACGAGCCACTCGGCTTCGGCTTCGTGACCCTGGCACACGACTGAGGATGAGGCAACGAAGTGGCAGAATGATCACTGGATTCGGTGGACAGCTGAAGTCTGAACCCCACATTTCTGGGAAACAGATGGAAACAGGACATTCCTTGCCACTTCTCGTGGATCCTCATCCCACACCCCAGTGGGGAACCTGCGCAAAGTCCCGTGCCCAGAAGCGATCCAGTCTCCGGCTCAATCGACTGGGCCTAAAGGCGCAAAACCCCAACAAACACCTTGTTTTTTTAACTGTACGTCGTATGTTTTTCAACAGGGAAAATGATGGTAAGCCATGGTAAACCATGATTCATCATGGCGATCATAGGGTACCCTATTTCAACCTTTGATCTGGCATGATCCAGTAGTCCAGGCTGGACTCTGTAGTCGACTGCATGGGGCACTCATTTTGGTGACATGGCCACGCAATGATGGCTTGAGATCCATCAAGTGCCAATGCTGTAGATTCATGTAGATTCTACCAATGCACTTTCAGAAAAAAAGATGAATCACTGGAAACCAGCCCCAGTATATCCCATTCCGTTCGTGATCGGACATGGTCCTGGACCCACGAAATCCAGCAGTAGAGGCCTGGAATAGCCATCAACACTGAAGTATGCGAAGACCTCCTGCACTTCAGCACCAGACATTGGGCCTGACCAACCTTAGTGAAGATCTTGGCCAAGGGGCACAACCGGGGTTCCCCATGGGGCCCCTTTGGGCCATGGGGCACTCTGGGGCCATGATGGTGTTTCTGCCAGGCCCCACCTGGGATGTAGCACACCTCCTGCTCCACCCAGTTCTCACAGATCCAGCAGCAGCTTTCTCGGGCACTGACCTGGCTATTGGTTGGGTCTCCGTTTTGGTCAAGATTCTAAGCACCCATTTCTATCCATGTCTCAACTATTTGCTTCAAATATCTTCAAATCATCCGATTTTTGTCCATTCGAAACTATCCAAACTATCCAGCTATTGGGGTACCCCCCACCTCCTCCAGCCGGGATGAGAAGAGAGCAGGCTGCACTTTCGCATGCACGCCCAACCAGGCCTGGAAGGTAAGACATCCATGTTGGGAGGTGATGACTTTTGATATGGAGGTTTCCATAAATGGAGGTACCCCAAAATGGATGGTTTATAATGGAAAGCCCGATTGAAATGGATGATTTGGGGGTACCCCTATTTTAGGAAACCCCCATATCTTTAGATGATTTTGGCCCCAAGAACGAAAACCAACAATGACCAAATGTACAGGAAGTGAACCGATATTCGCTAAAAAATTGACTTTTCGAACATACACTCTCCAGGCTGCTCCTCATTCTTAACGTCTCTGTGGACCTCGGTTATATAAGCAACACCAAGCGTATTGTCAGTTGCTCACCTAAAATTCTACCATGACCAGGGAAGAGGGTCAGCGGTGGCCTTTTCAAAGCCCAGATCGCCCTCTGAGAAGACATCGGATTTCTCCACCTAGCGTTTGGTTGGAAAAATCTTAACTAACCGTAACTAACCACTGGAAACCCATGGTTTTAACCACTGGAAACCCATGGGTTTCTACTTCCATCCAGCTCTTGGAGAAAAAACTGGAAAAAGGGGATGTGCGCGTTTCGAAAACGCGATTCATTGCGATTCCTCCTAAATTTCCTGGAAAGCAAGTCAGCAAGTGAAAATCCACGGAGTTTCACCTCCACATACCCTGGTTTTCGAATCAAAACAGCTGGTTTTCGGCAAATGTTCACCCCCTGATTCCAATGATCCCGTAGCGCTCCAAGGCACTCGTCTCAGCGATGGACTAAAGGGCTCGGCCAGCTTCACCTCCTGCGACAACTTACTGCAAAAAATGGGGGAATGTGATGGTTGTTAATGGTCATTATATGGGTATGGGTCAAAATTAGGTACCCCAATAATTGGATGGTTAATACTAAACTAGACTAACGTCTGTGGTCCCCTAGGTCTTCCATTTTGACCCACATCCATATGTCATTATAGATCATTCCCCCAAGTGCCTACCTGGCGCACCAGTAAGACTTAAAGGGCTCCTCCACGAAACGTTCATCATGGGAGGTTTCAAAAGTCATGGGGCGTACCCCAGTGATCATCAACGTCGACATGACCATGACTTAGTGACTTAGCATAGACTAAAATGTCCGTGGCGACTTGAGGACCCCCCTGTGATCTTCAGAAACCTCCATATGTCCATGACTTACAGGAAATCACAATTTCAGAACTGCGCCAAAGTCACCCAACCATCGAGTTGCCTTCTGACTCGCTCCCGTTGCAATAACTCCTGGGCTGTGACACTTTGCTGTGGAGAATCGAACATTTTTTTCATGATTTAGCCCTGATTCAGCTATGAAGATGATGTAAATAGCTTTGTTAAATATGGTTTAATTACTAGAGGGTATCATCATTGAAGATCATATTGGATTTGTCCTTCTATGAATTCACCGAACAATGGGAAAAAGGACATCTATGTGGATGTCTCAATCCATTTCTTGCATTTCTTGCCACCCGCTGTCCCGTTCAGTGCCATGTCCTCCACTTGGTGAGGTGCCCCATGTGCCAATTCCACTTGGACCATGCCAATGTCATCGACATAGGCACCATTGCCTGGGCTTTTCCGGCACCAAGACATCTCAACATCTCCAACATCTCCATGTTAGTAAGAAAGAATCACCCCTTGCCACCGCCTGCCAGGTGTAGCCCAAACAGCGTGTGGTTGGCCCTTAGAGCTTCAGCGAAGACTTCGCAGTCTGCTGAAGACAAACTATTGTAGGAGAGGTCCAAGTGGAAGAGGGTATCGCATTCCTTGGTAGATTCGCATCAACTCGGTCCCAAAAAGAAAAGTCGAAATATGGACACCCGACCGTGCTATGTGAAGACTTCAAAAGGACCATTTTGGTGACATTTCGTGGCACCCAGTTTCTTTGGCCATAGCCCATAGGGCCACATACAATCAGACAGGCAGCTGAAAAGACGCTCGCCAGGGTCTTGACCGCTTTGCTGCAGTTATTGCAAAGTTCGCAGCTGCAGGAACCGGAAGAGCCCTGGCATCCTGAGATGACAGCCACAGATGACCACATCACAATCATCATAGCAAGGACAAGGATAGAATTCGGTGAAATCCCACTCAAATCTTGATGACTTGCAACCATCCAAATTTGGGAGTTGCTGTTTGAAGTGACCTGCAATCGACTTTGGATTTGACGCTAATATAATAGCACCAAGGCCCCCTCCTTTGGTGAGTCTAAATGCAGATCTGGCGTCGCAGGCCAATGCAATTCCAGGCCAAATTCAAGCACCACAGGTGCCCCTTCCGTCTGGAGTTGGTCTTTAAACCTGGCACTAAGTCACTTGACCATGGTCTACCATGGTCAAGTTATGTCAAGTTCCATATTAGGCCCCTAATATGGCTGATGCCTGTTGGGCTTATGATGGCTTATGGTCATCCCATGCCGTGGGAATCGTCATGGGAGATATAAAAAGGAATCCCTACTAGTGGATAGACAGTGGATAGATGACCATCCTGGGACAGCCTAGCACCAAAGTGAAATTCCGTCTCCAGGTCCTCCCCAGTCTACTGATGATCTCCAGAGTGGTCGTCAACCTTTTGAAAAAAACAATAGTGGTCTACCTTTGCGGGATATAATGGGGATATCAATGGATATCATCTACGAGTATCATGTGGTTGGGAAGCTCAATTCGAAGCTCCTTGGCTACCGGATCATGCATGATGATTGCTCCCAATCGCTCCCTTCCATGGGATAGCGGATAGCCCCACTTCCAGCATTTTCAGGCGGGCAACCCTGAAAGATTGCACTGGCGTCGCCAGCATCAATCTTATTCCAGTGGAGGTCCAGGGCCTGCAAATGAACCTGGGAGGTCACGGGAAGTCGAGATAAGGTCACTACACCCTGGCCCTACTAATCCTACTACCTTGCCCCACCTATCGCTACTTACATCTTACCTCATTTCCATCACCTCGGCACCCATCGATTTACGTTAGCGGAGTAACCGCCTTCTACAAGCCGGATGCAAGGAGGAACACACGTTCATCTGGTGCCCTGGCCAGAACATTTCCCCCACAGCGAGAGACTGCTTGCGGTAGCAGGGCTTGAAGCGACGTCCCGAAACGTGCTGCACCCAATTGATTCTTGGCCATAGAAAGGCCCTGTAGACTCAGTCGACATGCCTCCGGAGCAGTGGATGCAGGGGATCCACCATGGGAGTGTTGAAAACCATGGTGGATGCAGGATGGGATTCCTTGGAAACATCGTTGTTTGAAGCGAAAAGCACCTGTCGGAGGGAGTCACAGATCTGTGCCTTAGCTGTCAGCATTCAAGGCTATCAATACTGTGGATGGACAAAATCCTGCAACAGTTGGTAACTATGAAACACTGAAAAATAATGGAATTATCATGAGGTAAGCCATCTACACCGCATTTTTCCTGGCTGATTGAACCACCACAAAAACAAACATACAATTGTCACTATCGGTCATCCCAGTCCCCATAAGTTTTGCCACGTTGCTGCAGCCGCATCACCTGAAAATCAGGATTACTAATATGTATTACTATGTAATGGCAGGGCACGGGTCTCTAGGGGCCCAGTACTGGCACAAAAGGAAAGAGCCTGCTGAAACATGTTCAAACCCCACCGTAATTCAACATGCACGCACTCCAGTGCCCTTCTCTTCCAGAACACCTGCAGACTTACAGATTCTGCGGTGCAGGGAACGGCACCTATGGCATTGTCCGAGATGTCAAGATGTTGTAGTGGGCACTTGACCGTTTCGAGCAGTTTTGCGACAGCTTGGCCTCGTGCTACACAGGACATGACGAATTCGGGATCAAACATTGCGTGCTATTGGACCCACAAATGGCTGGTCAGTCCTCGTATTCCATCATAAATCATCCATGTTTTAGTCAGGTCAATAATGTTTTACCAAAATTCGCGTTCACTTTCCATGTGACAAGTTGTCCTCATTTTTTAAAATGACCAAAATGTCCCAAAATAAAACCTGGATATATCATGATATATCCAAAAACGGCTCCGTTTTTTTGTCTCCAACGTTCCCAAGTTGATTCTTTGCCAAGTGCAGGCTGTGAAGATTCTGTAGCGGTTGATGCTCAGAGACCTGGCCCATGGTGCCCATATGGTGCCCATTTTAATCATATTGGGTGATGACCATCCCCAGTTTATAAATCTTATAATGGTTAAGATGGGATATATATGGATATATCATAATAGGTGGGATTAATAGTGATTAATAGTGATTGTTAGTGATTAATATTGATTGATGTGGGTAAATCTATGATAAATCTATGGTGATCAATAATCAACCATATTATAATGGGGGTAAAACGACTGGGAATGGTTTATATATACCACCTATAAAAATGGTGATGACTGGGGGATGGTTTATTGTTGTCTTACCCACATTGCTGTAGCCATTCGAATTGAATCATTCAGAGTGGGGTTACCTCTAAAAATCCCTTGAGACTGGTGCTATGACCATCCCCCTGACAATTTGATAGATAATTCAACTTTTGACCTCGGCACAAAAGCGAGTCTGTAGCAAGCGTCAGACAGTCCCCCCAGTCCCCCCTCAAACCTCCAGCAGGAAATTCACGAAGTTCTCCGTCAAGCGATTGTCTGAGAGGTTGATCATACAAAGTTCTTGAAGTCTGATCCTAGGCTGGGCACCGATTTCAGCGGCAACGCCAGTTCAGCTTGATCAGCTTTACCCTGAACCTGGACTGGACCTTGCCCAGGCTCTGTCGGAAAAGAGTGCAAGCGTAGTCATCGTCCAAACTCCAACCTGACCAAAGTCTTTATCAAAAACCGGGTGGGAACCTTCCTCCAGGCCTTGAAAGTGCATGTACTCAACGGTCTGCATGGAACCTTGGTTGCGACAATCGTTGGAAAAGCCAATGCCATAAATCTCCACCCGGGCATGGTTCTCAAAGCGTCCCAAGTAAAGCATGCCAGACCAATACGGCGGTTCATCTGGATTGTAACAAAGGGGTCATGGCCTGGCGTTGGGTGTACCAAATTATGTACCATTAAATACCCATGTTTGGTTGTTGTTCTACCCATGAATAAATCCCAGACATTGCCCATCAATGCCAAGTTTTGATGGTTCTTTTTCTCCCCATATGGAGGTTTCCTAAGTCATAGGGGTACCCCCAGTTACCATCCATTTATCGATGGATTTTCCCATAGATGATATGGATTATAAATGGATTTTCCATTATATGAAGATTTATCATCCCAGTAGTTGTTGTAAGTTGTTGTTGTTTATGGGGTCAACGCCCCGAGGCGGGCGTGGTTTTTTCCACGTTTGTGCTCTTTGGCAGTATACGTGTTTAACGCTCTTGCCGACTGTAAGATGACGCTACGGAAGACACTTTGCCCAACTTTGTTGCTGACGTCTTGCTACCTTGACCGCGAGGGGGGGTGGGGGGGGGGGGGGGGATGATAACGTTCCTTTCGACTGTAAGATGACGCTACCGAAGACACGTTGCCCAACTTTGTTGCTGACGTCTTGCTACCTTGACCGGGAGGGGGGGTGGGGGGGTGGGGTGGGGATGATAACGTTCCTTTCGACTGTAAGATGACGCTACCGAAGACACGTTGCCCAACTTTGCTAGGTTCATTTACAACATACATTTATCAAAACGCGTGTTTTTATATACATGTATGTTTACATGTTTATATATATATATGTTTAAAGGGTATTTAAAATATCTATGTATTCATGAGCAGATGTTGCGGAATTGCAAAAGTTTTTTTTGCATTTTGACATCTTGCAGCAAACGTCAAAACATCATAGATCACAAGCATAAAATACTGCAAATTACAGTGTAAAAAGGTGATTTTTGATTCAATCACCAAGTACACAATTGTAGAAAACCCACACCCGCCTCAAGGCGGTGTTCCCTTGTTTATCGATGGATTTTCCAAAAACTCCCACCTTTGATGGGTCAAAAAACATCAACAACTCCCCTGATGGGCCAAGGCACCAAGTCGCGGAGAACCTGGCGCTTCCAAGGACCCCAGCTCTTTGAGAGTCACCACCGGCCGGCCTTGGATGGATCGCCGAAGCGGTCTGGGTTTTTGAGGTTGGTTCATGCCAATGGTGGTTAACTGTTAATATTGTTATATAATATATAATAGTTAACAATCTATATGGCATGAATCAACCAAAAAACCTGAAAAAATTGACAGGTTAGCTGAAATCCATTTGACCAATCCCTGTTAAAAAAAAGGTGGTCTGACCCACTATTGCAAGCAACAGGTGTACTTGTAATGGCTCACATGGTCCCACTGAGCATGTGTGTCCCACTCTGCCGCCAATGTCGAGGAATATAAAACTACTGGTAGTGTTTTCTGCATCGGATCGTGATCGGAAGGTGAAGAACTTGTAGTGTCCCAAGAGATGGTTAACTAATGCTAAGAAAGGGGAAGGTGGGAAAACATTGACAGTCATGACTGACCGAAAGTAAGCTGAATGGAGATATAAAATGATTGTAAATGATTCATGTAAATGGAAACATGCAGGGGAAATGCTGAGAGAGTTGGAGTGAAGATGGAATACAAGGTTCAACTGTGAGCCAGAAGATACAAAATGAATCAAACATATTCAAACATAGTATATGTATAATATATCTATATATATATATATATTTCGGCTTTCCCGGGCATTGAGCTAGTGAGCAGCTACAGCTTTCGTGACCTCTTGAAGCCTTGATCCAAGAGACCGGGATAGGCGCGGCTTGCTACTGACGCACTAATCGAAGCTTGTCGCAGATGCCATTTCCGATCAGGTAGCCTGCCAAAGTCGTGAACCACTCTCCAGCGACAATGAGCTACAGATCTGGAGGCATGGAAAACGTAAGAAATAAGATAGAAATGGTCAGATGATTTTACAGCAAACATCTTGGAAGAAACAAGGCCTCAATCGACTTCGCAAAGCGGACTCACTAAAATTTTAGACCTCCACTCTCCACTGAGTTTGCATGGGCGACATCCTTTGCACGAAGGTAGAGCTCAGCTCGCAGAGCCATCTAACAAGTCCGTTCTGTGATATTGAAGCAATTAAAAGATTCCGTTCTGCCATTGGTCCTACGGAATGGGCCTTTAGGCTTTCGGGATTTCATGTTTCGGTCATGTGGGTGTGTCTTTTTCAATGGGTCATTTTTTGGTGTGTCTGAAAATGGGCTATTCCAAATCCATTGGTTCACTATCATATTTCCCATTCAAAGGCCATTTTTTGTGGGGTATTAGCTCCCCAGATCCCCAGACCTGTTGAGCCATGGCCCAGTGGACCAGGTGTGTCCATGCAGCTTTGCGGACTCTTTGGGCGGGCCGCTCCGTTCGCTCCGTTCCGACAACACACCTGAGACAGCCGCCCAAGCCCATCCATGGCCCATCCGACCAAGGACGCCAAAAATTTGGAGCCAAGGAGGGATCCAAATCGGGGCACCAACGGACCTACAAGAATTTGGATAGTTATAGATGTTATAGTTAGTTTTTCAGTACATCTTTGGGACACAATTCTGCAGCACTGGCTTCCGGACTGGCACTTGTAGGCACCAATTTTTGGCGCCGGATCTCATTACCCAGAATTACCCTTTACAACATTTTTTAGGCTTAATTATGCCATGCTTTTCAGTAGCCTGCCACTTTTTGTTGGGTAAGAGCTTGGTATCTGACGTGCACTCTGAGCACGAGAGGTGTGAACCGTGGCAATACTGCCCGGCTTCAGAAAGTGTCTGGCCTTGGTCGGTCATTTGGCGAGAGGGATTGAGGATCTCCAAGTGGCTTGCATTGGATATGAAGGCCACAGGTAGATCTTGGGAAGTTTGGCAAAGCAATTCTTTAGAAGCTTCACTTCGGCTTCTTGTTTTGTCACCAGGCCCAGCATTTCAGCAAGTCCACCCACATTCATTTGTGTTCAATGTGTTCCCACAGACGTCCTTTCATTCCGCATACTCATCCTTACGACCCTCAATTTATCTTTATATTCTTTATATTGTTCCCTGCAATTTGTATCTGCTGAGGTAGTCCAAATTGTCCTCATCCCGTTCCCGAATTCATTGAATTCATTCTGTGCACTCGTTTGTGTCCTTTCAGGTCTCTTTTCCCTTGTTTGCTCCATTAAATGTCTTGAAGCTGCTCATGATGCAAATTCATAAAATCACATGTTGAATTTATTCCATACATTCCACCAGGGGGTTCTGGTAGGGTCCTTATCTGGACCTTATCTGGACCGTCCGCTCCAGCGGCATTGGTCCTTTTTGACCTTATCAGCAAGCGCCCACTTTGGGCACCCAGACGGGCTCCCATGGTAGCATTGGCCCCTCCTGATTCATGTCCTGCAGCTAAGTGCTATGTGAAGTAAGGATCTAATCATCATAGGTGAGATGTTTGTTCATTGACTTGGGATTCCCACAATGGTTCAATCAGTTCCTCAGACTTCTTCATGTGCCCCATGGCCCCATGGGTTCAATGACACCTCACTTTTGAATTCTTGCCTAAAGGTAAAGAAGAGCGCACCACAATCCACAATAGATCAGTTCCCAAGCGCAATTCTTGGATTTTGGAGTATGGATTCTGCAGATTCCGGCTCCCAGTCCTGAAATGGTAAGGCCATGAGCTTGTCTGCAGCATGGGCCAAACATCAAGCATGCTGAATCATGGTAGGGCGGGCATTGACTGCTAGACAGGCCACTAGTCACATTCACAGCAAGGGTGTGTCTAAAAGACAAATGACCAGCAGCAGAACCTGCTTCCTCCTCTGCAAGGAACTTCTCAATGGGTGAGCTGGCACCTTGGCGGAGGATCGGCCGACCCAGGTTGCTCCTGATCTCTGGGGTTCATTTTGGGAGATCCCCAAAATGCTACCGGGTGATTTGCTGGAAAATCATGGAAAATCCATCTATAAATGGATGATTTAGGGATACCACCAATGTAGGAAACCTCCATTTTTGGTTGCCAAAACCACATCACATCTCGTAGGACTACAACCCCTTGACTCTCCCGTGCAAATACAGACTAAAGCCACGTGAAACATGATCAAGGCCGCTCTACGCCGCAATTGGTGTCTGAAAATGGGGTATGCCAATGGCCATTCAAATGGGGACCCAAATGGATCCAGATTGGCCTGGCTCTTCTTGGACTTCAAGTTCTTCAAGACTGTGCCCAAGTTGATATGATGCAAGCGATACCATGCCTCGGGATGCCGAGGCATCCAATCTAGGCACAGGAACGCATTACTCGTTGGAATTGGGGGTGGGAATTAGATTCCTCTGGTTTTTTTGAAGGGGCTAAAAAATTGTTTGTGGACTCAAAGTGCTCCACCCTCAGGGGGGCAAAAACGAATGATTCAATTTTCAATAAAGACCCTGATCTAAACACAGCCCCAACACGGGCCCAACATAGGCTAAAGAAATTCCACACCAAAAAAAATGTGGAAAAAAATGCGAGCAACAAACGAATCTTGCTTTTAGCAAACGCTCAAGGGGCGGTCAAACAACTGTGGAACCTATGCTGAATGTACCATGGTCATGTTGTGTATTCAAGAATGATACCATCCTGCATGGTTTCCATTGAGCCATCTCATTCCAGCGGGAAAACTGCAGAAAAAAACTTGGGATCACTATGTAAAATAATGAAAAGTGGAATACTGTAGTCTAAACTTTTGGAGTCTATATAAACACGTTGTCAGTATCTGGGTATCTGGACAACTAAAAACCAGAATTTGAAACCAACACTGCCTCCCAAGTGGCACAACATGACTTCCATACAGGCTCCATATCCCTAAAAATCGCAAAATCTAGGCTTGAGACAAGCTCATCATAGGCCCAACATGCCATAGAATGACCCTCCAAATGGCCGAACGGGGCTCAAGATAGTGTTGTACATAGGCTCAACATGGAGTAAAGTGTATATGTCTAAAAAACTTCCAGACGATTTTAAGGGCAGCTTAATTCTTGCGTTTTGCACAGGCTCCAATGCTGCAATGCGGACAGTCTTCACAGCACTGCTAGGCCCAGTGGCTCTCACGTCGCTTCCCCTCGCTGACAGCCAAGCTTTGTGACAGGCACATGCTGTTTCCTGTTGGTCTGGGTAACGCAGGATGACCGGGTTGAGAAATGGGGTGGAGCGGTTTCATATTGCTTAGATTGATCTTAGCATCACCACCTTTAGCAACGGCTGCATCCCTAGCCGAGCCTGAATAGACGCGCATCATAGATGGTCGATGCGTCCGTTTTTTGCCTGACAAGGGAGTCATTGTGGCATGGCGAAAAAATCGCAGTGGCCATTCGGCTTTTGAAGGTCGCCATGGAGTGCAACAGACACGGCCCCGACGCCCCGACCCTCAGGAGCTCCCTGCCTTGTGGGTGAAGCCCGGGCGGTACATCTTGTCCAGTGCAGAAGACACTTCCGTAGCCTATGCTGGATCCATGTGCAAACTGCTCCAAGATCTTTCCTGCACGCCGGCGTGCTGATTCGTTTCAAGGACCGCACACTGCCACACACCATGCACGGCTTTTCAACTGCAACTCAAGGGCGACCGAGTTGTAGAGAAGCAGACACCAATAGAATCTATGTTAACCGATGGATAGAAAATGATAGAAAGATGAGCAAATAGAAGCAATGACCTCAGCAAAAAGAAAGAAACGCCACGGACAAGGACGAGGCCATACTAGGCGACCCAGGCGACCCAGGCGACCCAGGCGATGCCAGATCTCCTGCTGCCACTTTCTCGCTTCGGAGTGGTGGCAAGGTCAAGGAGTCTTCCAAGCTCAAAGCCTCCAAGTCCTCCTTGAACTCCTTGCTGTGGCTGCTAAGATATGTAAGCACAAGGTTCATAAGGGGGAACTTCCCAAGTTGCAAAACCAATTCTCATTTAAATCACTTGAATTGTGAACCCCAATTCTTTTGAACGATTTCTTGAAGTTTTTCTCTGAGATCACAGCGTTCTCCCCGTTTTTCACCACCGTGCCGCACCTCTGAGCCTTTCCCCGCCAGCACTCGGTGTAGTCTACACTTCCCGCGCCGCCGAGCCGTCTTCGCTCCCAACAGGTGAACTGCCTCACAGCTCGAGTTTTGCTGAAAATCATGGATTAAATGAATTAACCGCTTTAACCCACCAAAACCAACCAAAAAATGATTTAAAAAAAAAACACTGCAATTTCATTGGATCCTGAAATATATCATATGGGATAATGTATATTCTACAATTGCCAACAAAATAGGGTATGTATTCAAGAGTGCCTGCAAATGGAGGGAATTTTCCATGGAATGACCATCATTTCAATAAAGCGATGTTGATGAGGTTTTCAGCATGCGGATGGAATGAGCTACACCAATTTCAGACAACTTCAGGTTCCAACATGTTCCATGTGTGTGTGTGTGTCAAGGGGGTTCAAGGGTACGGAATTCAGATGACACACATTCCTGATGCGTGGGATGCACTTGCAGACCTAATCAACAAGCTCAAACAATTGGGGGTCTTGAGGGTCTCACTCGCGAAAAAAGAATGTGAAGCAGGAAAAACAAATCATCATACTTATCTCACCCAAAAGTGGGGCTCCTATTTGTAGCTCTGGGCACCCCTACTGGAGCACCAGGGAGCACTGGCATCACCCGGCTTGCGCTTGGCCTGCGACTAAGATGGGGATTGAGCCGGCAAGAAATGGCGAACTTCTTAGGTTACCAAGATCTGGATAGAATTTGTGATATAACAAGCAAAAATGATATTACGGCCGAGTAATCGTGGTTGTTGTTTGGTTGTTGATTGGGGGGTGTATGTATAATCACTTGATTTCCAGGACTCCCCCAGTTGGGGAAATTGTGCTGTAACAATTGGTTTGTATATTCCTTCGAACTCAAAACCCAATCACATGGTCACATGCCTCAAACTTTGAACATGACAAGAGACTGCCACCAACAGTTACTAACATCTGTAATTTGGGCTCTGAATGGATCTTCTCGGCTGGTAGATCTTCTCGGAAAACTAGAAGTTTCACAGGCGCCATTTCAGCCAAACACCGATCGTCTGGTTCGGTCCTCTTACATGTGGACAGTCTCGAGGAGCTGACCCACTGTGTCATTAAAAAGGGGTGATTCATAAAGAAACGCAACAAACTGTATTTCACATTTGCATAGAAGTAGAGTGAAATCGCAAAGTCCAGTCATGACCAAAACTGGGATCGCCTCTCCCAATCTTTGCACCTCTCCGTTTTTGCTGTCAAAGCGCCCCGATCAGCCAACCACCTCACGGATTCTGAAGCTTTGCAGGAGAACTGATAAGCAAAAGGCTGTGGGCTAGCTGCATCCCCATGAATTGTCGCAACATCTCCAGTCTTGATGAAAATCATCAAACTTCCGATGGTTGGTTAGTGCTCAAAAATATTCAAAAATCCCATGTTTGGTTGGTTCAAATCCGCACTCTTGGTTGTCGAAATCCCAATGAAATTACATCATACCATTGTTAAATGTTCGGTCTTAGTTTAGTGGGTCCAATCCCCATTGGGAGATTTGGGGAGACCTTTGGTTGGTCTTACCTCAAAATCCTCAAATTTACGCGGGTCTGGGACAACCTTAGAACCCCATTTGCTGCGGTGTGCTCTATAAGTCTATAATGTTTCAAGTTTCTTTGTATTGCAACAAGAGTCGGTGGGGCATTCCACAGTTGCTCCCATTGGAAAACCAGTTGGTCACTTCTATCATTTGTTTCGCCTCTAAGGCAAAAGTACTCTGCAGTGATTTTTTGATGCTAAATCTCCCTTTGATCAATAGCAGATTTGGTTGGTTGCCAAGATCACTGTTGCGGCATATTGTTGGCTGGATATTATATCAAAGCCCAAATTTAGGAAACATGTTGATTGCCTACATCACAACCAAGTCCCCCATATTTTGGAGATGTTGGGAGACGTTGTACCATGCTGGGTTGGTCCAAATCCTCGTTTAGTCCAAAATTTCCATTTTTGATCAAGAAAAATCGCAGAAAAAAACCGGTGATCCAAATAATATCAAAATATATCATCCCAAAAATCTCCAAGTTTGCTTGCTATAAACCAGCATTAAACCACCATGAAACCACCCATTTTTGCTGATCCAAAACGGCCACAGCCCTGGCACCTGGCCACGGAGGGTGCGGGCCCACGCGCCTTGGGCGCCTGCAGGCGTCGGCCACCCAACTTGGCCAACCAAGACCTGGCGAATGTGACTCGAAACATTGAGGATTTTGACCAAACGAAAAAGGTGTATTATATATGTATATGTTTTTGTAAATGTATATGTTTTTGTAAAGGTAAATGTTTTTGTAAATGTATGTGTTTTTGTAAATGTATATGTTTTTGTAAATGTAAATGTATATGTATATGTAAATGTATATGTAAATGTACATGTAAATATATGTAATTATATGTATATGTATATATATATGTAATTATATGTATATGTATATGTATATGCATATGTATATGCATATGTATATGTTTTTGTAAATGTATATGTTTTTCTAAATGTAAATGTATATGCATATGTAAATGTATATATATATGTAATTATATGTATATGGTATATGCATACGTATATGTTTTTGTAAATGTATATGTTTTTGTAAATGTATATGTTTTTCTAAATGTAAATGTATGTGTATATGTAAATGTATATATATATGTAATTATATGTATATGTATATGTATATGTATTGTATATGGTATATGCATACGTATATGTTGTTGTAAATGTATATGTTTTTGTAAATGTATATGTATATGTATATGTAAATGTGTACATATATACAATGATATGATATGTATATATATATATGTATGTAATTATATGTATATGGTATATGCATACGAATATGTTTTTGTAAATGTATATGTTTTTGTAAATGTATATGTTTTTGTAAATGTATATGTATATGTATATGTAAATGTAAATGTATATGTAAATGTATATATATGTAATTATATGTATATGTATATGTATATGCATATGTATATGTATATGGTATATGCATACGTATATGTATTTGTAAATGTATATGTTTTTGTAAATGTATATGTTTTTGTAAATGTAAATGTATATGTATATGTAAATGTGTACATATATATATATAATGATATGATATGTATATGTATATGTATATGTATATGGTATATGCATACGTATATGTTTTTGTAAATGTATATGTTTTTGTAAATGTATATGTATATGTTTATGTAAATGTATATGCATATGCAAATGTATATATATATGTAATTATATGTATATGTATATGTATATGGTATATGCATACGTATATGTTTTTGTAAATGTATATGTTTTTGTAAATGTATATGTATATGTATATGTAAATGTATATGTAAATGTATATGTTTATATGTATATATATGTATATGTATATGTATATGTATATGTTTTTGTAAATGTATATTTTTTCGTAAATGTATATGTATATGTACATGTAAATGTATATGTATATGTAAATGTAAATGTAAATATATGTAATTATATGTATATGTATATACATATGTATATGCATATGTATATGTTTTTGTAAATGTATATGTTTTTTGTAAATGTATATATATGTAAATGTAAATGTATATGTATATGTAAATGTATATGTATATATATGTATATGTATATGTATATGTATATGCATGTGTATATGCTTTTTGTAAATGTATATGTTTTTGTAAATGTATATGTATATCTATATGTAAATGTATATGTATATGTAAATGCATATGTATATATATATATGTAATTATATGTATATGTATATGTATATGCATATGCATATGTATATGATTTTGTAAATGTATATGTAAATGTATATGTAAATGTATATGTAAATGTATATGTATATGTAAATGTATATGTGTATATATATATATGTATATGTATATGTATATGCATATGTATATGGTTTTGTAAATGTATGTTTTTGTAAATGTATATGTATATGCATATGGAAATGTATATGTATATGTAAATGTATATGTATATATATATCTGTAATTATATGTATGTGTATTTGTAAATGTATATGTGTATGCTTATGTATTTGTTTTTGTAAATGTATATGTTTTTGTAAATGTAAATGTATATGTATATGTAAATGTATATCTATATGTAAATGTATACGTATATATATATATATGTTATTATATGTATATGTATATGTATATGCATATGTATATGTGTTTGTAGATTTATATGCATATGTATATGTGTTTGTAGATTTATATGTTTTGGTAAATGCATATGTATACGTAAATGTATATGTATATGTAAATGTAGATATATATATATATATGTAATTATATGTATATGTATATGTATATGTATATGTTTTTGTAAATGTATATGTTTTTTGTAAAAGTATATATATGTAAATGTAAATGTATATGTATTTGTATATATATGTAATTAAATGTATATGCATATGCATATGTATATGCATCTGTATATGTAAATGTATATGTATATGTAAATGTATATGTATATGTCAATGTATATGTATATATATATATGTATATGTATATGCATATGTATATGCATATGTATATGTTTTTGTAAATGTATATATTTTTGTAAATGTATATGTATATGTATATGCAAATGTCTATGTGTATGTAAATGTAAATGTATATGCATATGTATATGCATATGTATATGTTTTTGTAAATGTATATGTTTTTGTAAATATATATGCATATGTAAATGTAAATGTATATGTAAATGTGCATGTATGTATATATATATATGTAATTATATGTATATGTTTATGTATATGTATATGTTTTTGTAAATGTATATGTTTTTGTAAATGTATATGTATATGCATATGTTTTTGTAAATGTATATGTATATGTATATGTAAATGTATATATATATGTAATTATATGTATATGGTATATGCATACGTATATGTTTTTGTAAATGTATATGTTTTTGTAAATGTATATGTTTTTGTAAATGTATAGGTATATGTATATGTAAATGTATATGTATATGTCAATGAATATGTATGTATATATATATGTAATTAAATGTATATGTATATGCATATGTATATGCATATGTATATGTTTTTGTAAATGTATATGTTTTTGTAAATGCATATGTATATGTAAATGTATATGCATATGTAAATGTATATGTAAATGCATATGTATATATATGCAATTATATGTATATGTATATGCATATGTATATGCATATGTATATGTTTTTGTACATGTATATGTTTTTGTAAATGTATACGTATATGGGTATGTAAATGTATATGTATATGTAAATGTATATGTATATGTAAATGTATATGTAAATATATATATATAATTATATGCATATGTATATGCATGTGTATATGCATATGTATATGTTTTTGTAAATGTATAATTTTTTGTAAATGTATATGTATATGTATATGTAAATATATATGTATATGTAAATGTATATGTATATGTAAATGTATATGTGTATAAATAAGTATGTAATTATATGTATATGTATATGCATATGTATATGCATATGTATATGCATATGTAAATGTGTGTGTAAATGTATATGTTTTTGTAAATGTAAATGTATATGTAAATGTATATATATATGTCAATGTATATGTATATACATATGTATATGCATATGCATATGTATATGTATATGCGTATGCATATGCATCTGCATAGGTTTATGCATATACATATGTATTGTATACGCATACGTGTATATGCATGTGTATATGCATCTGCGTGTGCATATGTATATGCATATGTATATGTTTTTGTAAATGTATATGTTTTTGCAAATGTAAATGTATATGTATATGTAAATGTGTATGTATATGTAAATGTATATGTATATGTAAATGTATATGTAATTATATGTATATGCATATGTATATGCATATGTATATGTTTGTGTAAATGTATATGTTTTTTGTAAATGTATATGTATATGTATATGCATATGCATATGTACATGTATATGCATATGTATATGCATATGTGTATGCATATGTATATGTATATGCATATGCATATGTATATGTGTATGTATATGTAAATGTATATGTATATGTATACATACATACATGACGTGACATGACATGACATGACATGGCATGACATGACATTACATTACATTACATTATATTACATACATTACATTACATTCATTACATTACATACATACCATCCATACCATACATACTATACATACCATACATACCATACATACCATACATACATAGATACATACAAACATACATACATACATACCATAACTTAACTTAACTTAACATAACTTTACCTTACCTTACCTGACCTTACCTTACATACATACATACATACATACCATAACTTAACTTAACATAACCTTACGTTACCTTACCTTACCTTACCTTACCATACGTACATACATACATACATACATATATATATATATGTGTGTTATGTATACATATACATATATATATATATATATATGTATCAAAAATTATCACCATTAGATCATTATATTGCACAGCCAAGAAGAAACTGAAGCCAAAAGCATCCAAAAAAGTGCTGTTTGTTTTTCACCATTTCATTTCCGCCATTTTATCCAAAAAATGTGCGTTGTTTTGTTTTTTAGATGTCACAACAAAAGGACAACATGAGCTTCAAACCAAGCATTCTCTGAAAAGTGTTGGTTTTTTGGTGTTCCCGAGGTTTCGGTTGTAATGTATATCCAAATAAATCCTTCAAGGGTGGCAGCAGTAGGTTCAGCAAGATACTGCATAAATACAAATTGGATTAGCAAGCAAAGCACACACTTGCAAGTATGCAGATTAAATCAGACAGCATGTCTACTCAGCCGCCTCTCATGGACATTATCTAGGTGTGCTTTTTTTTGGTGTTTTCATGGCTTGAGAACTCTCCCAGAAAGTTCCTTAAGACCATTGGAAGAAATACAACACAGCCAAGGTTATTGTATTTTCAAGTAAACAAGTTTCAGCATGTACTTTGAAGTCTGTGTTCAAAGCAGAATCCTCCAATATAGGCCTTGTGGAGCAGTATTTTCAAAGAATATGACATTCCTTGGACAAGTTATCATTCCTTGCATAAAGTGACATCATCGTGTACAGGCCGCATTTCTTTGAAAGGAACGTAGAGTTATTTTCAAAGAGACTTACAGCTGCGCAAAGTTATAAAGGAGCGCAGATGCCTTTGAAAGGAACATAGACTTATTTTCAAAGAGACCTACAGCTATGCAAAGTCATAAAGTATAAAGGAATGCAGCATTTCTTGAAAGGAATATAGAGCTATAAGTTATCTTCAAAGAGACCTAGAGCTAGAGCTGTGCAAAGTTATAAAGGAGAGGAGCATTTCTTGAAAGGAGACTTACAACTGTGTAAAGTTAAAAAGGAGCGCAGTGTTGATTGAAAGGGACATAGAGTTATTTTCAAAGAGAGTTTCAGCTGTGCAAAGTTCTGTTCAAGAGGTGGGGAATTTCAGGAAGGAGGATAGCATTATTTCAGGATGGTTGATCCTTTGAGTAACCGATTAATTGTGGTATTCCTCGTAGGCGCAAAGCTTCCTTCACCAGGGAGTGAATCAATCATATGATTGAAAAGCGTGCAATAATACAAAGAAGCATTACTATGAAATAGAACCCTTGGATGTATGTAGTGTTTTTTGAAGAAACAGATCATGGCTGTATGTATGCAATATGCCCTTCCATATGAGTGTTAAAACAGGCAACACTATTTTGAAGAAGGGAAATCTTTCCTGTAAAAACACATGTCATGCAGAAACAAAAGTGTTAATGCAGGGTGTCGAGACGCTCCCCAAGACGCAATGCAGGCAGCTTTTCCTCGGCGCAAACGGAGACCATATGGCGTTAGGCCTAAGAAAATGCAAGGGGCAGTTCGAGCCCACAAATCAGGCGATGCATTCGGATGTGACCTCGGCGCACTGTCAAACGCAAGTCTTTACAGTGGATACATTTCTTTTGTTGACAGAGGCACCATGGAAAAAGGTCACTAGCACGGATGCTTCATCGCCAATCAAACCCTGCTTCACTTGTAAAAGATCATACTGTACGTGATCTTCCAGTTTTCGCCACTCACAACGGCCATCATTGAAATCAAAGCGACCATAGGAGCTTCTCTTCGGATACTGCAGTGCATCGAAACGAGGGTTTGGCAGGCGAAAGGATCGAGCATTTCGTGCCACTTGTACTGGGATTCCATCTTTGAAGTGCCATCCAGAAGTCTCACCAAGCTTCATCAAATAGCCAAGAATGGGGCTACTTGGATCCAGAGGCTCACCAGTGATTACAGCACCATCAGATAGGTTGCTGCCCTTTGCTCGTTTGGCGCCTTGCTTGACGAACTTCGGTTCATAGCAAACGTTCCACCTGCAACTCTGCAGGATCTTCTGCATATGGGTCAGGTCAAAGTTCTCTTTGGTGCCACCATCCACGAACATATTGTCAGTGGAAGTCCACTTGATGTCAGTTCGAGGTCTTCTCAGTTGAGCTCTCGGCCATGCGATCGTAAAGCACAGGCTCTTCTGCGATCCATAGGAAGCCGTGTCAACTGTGTTGCGATCATACACATCTTTGGCGTCAGTGACACATGTCAGGGCAATGGCTTCCACGGAGCTTCGCTTCACCAAAACGGGAAGGCCACAAATTGCACCCCAAAAACCACGCACCATCTGGCCCACGTCCACGGATTCCTCAACACCCAGCAACTCTGCCGCGTAAGTGCTGCGACAGACTCTTGGCAACCTGTGTGATCTGGCATCGATCACTGCAAAGGATCCTTCCTGTCCACTCATCAGCTTCTTGTCTTCTAAGAGAACGAAGTATCATGACTGGCTATAGACCTTCTCCATGGGAGATCCATTAGAAACACCAGAAAGTCGCACGTTTCCCAAACTGGAATCAGACACCACCAGGGTACCAGCATCTGCCAAATCCATAGGTTTGAAGACTAAGGAAAACGTAGGCAACTCCTTGAAACGCTTGACCAAAAGGTTTGCCTTCATCAACGTGGTAATCGTTGGTCTCTCGCCCTGAAGTGTCGATAAGGCAAAGGCCTGGTCAAAACGCACTTGTGCTACCAACCACTGCAAGGAGCCGAGGATGGCTCTCAACTGCTTCAGCTCGCTGGGCATCAGAGGAGCGTCAGACTGCTTGCGCTTGACAGGAATTCGAACTGTCTGAATGTTCTTGTGATATTCTTCCATAGAAACTTTGATTTCACCAGTAGTTAAATTCTGGGAAATTCTTTTACCACAATAAACAAAAACTATTACGTTCAACACTGCCGAAACCTAACTCTTTGCCCAGGTCCTCGAGCTGACGTTTAGCAACGCTATCACCTCCAAGCAGCAAGTCATCAACATGGCTGATGATCATCCCATGACGTCCAGAGCGATCAGGCTTCCAAAGCAACCAGCAAGCTGCATCAAAAGGCGAACTTTCCCATCCACGCTCTGCCAAACGAAGAAACCATTGTCGAGGGGCATCAGCTAAACCAAAGACTCCCTTCTTGATGCGAGCTAGTCCTTCAGCACCAAATGGCAAAATGGGAGAGCCACTGATCTGCCGCATGTTGGACAGAAACAAATCACGTACACCAGCCATGTAGGGTCACCCTTGAGGAAGGTGGACTTGATGTCAGCAGAAACCAATCGCCAGCCATCGAAGAAACATGAGGCACACAGGGCTAGCAGGAAAAGCTGAGAAATTCGACTTGCTGTCGGGGCATCCTTCCGCAAGGAATAGGACAAAGTGTCCTTGTAACCTGGAACCACAAAGGCAATCTCGCATCATTCGTTCGAAGTCCATCGTTTTTGTCAGTGAAACCCATCTTGGTGTCAAGATCTTGGCGCCCTCATTGTCGCGCTTTAATCGAGCTCTGACTTGTTGAGCTTCTTCATCTGAAAGGATTTCAACTGCATCATTTTCAACCCAAACATCCCAGCCTTTCTTGGCTGCAGTCTCAAACTCAGTCTTTTCTGAAGGGGACATGCTGCTCCAATGATACTCTTTGCGTGCGGTCTGCACTGCATTGATCTCTTGAGCACCACTCGGCCATGAAAATCCAAGCCGATTGCGAGCTCCCCATTCAGTGCGACTGGGCATTCCCCATCTACCATCCCAACTTCCGCGATCACAAGGATAAGCTTCATCAGCGTTGATCTCACCCTTGAGCCCGTCAACCAAATCTCGCAAAGAGAAACCTTCGACACTTAAGGCATCATGTGTTGAGCATGTTCTGGAGATGGAAGAGGAGGAGGCTCAGGCATCAAGCTAGGGGCATCCAAGGCTGCTGCAGGTTCAACAGTGCCCTGTTGAAGAGCTTCAGGGGGGACGTCAGCAGGACGTTCGTTTCCACAAGTTTCCTCCTTCATCGCAGCTGCTTTGGCAGCAACCGAAATCAGACGATCAGCAAAACTTTGAGAGCTTGAGGGAGCAGCTCCAACCAAATCTCCAACAGGCGTGCCAGGCTGCTGACACCGCTAGCTCTTCGTGAGGATTCTGCAGAAGGCAAGGTGGAAGGTGAAGGGGAAATGCTGCTGCTAGAACCTCTGCTGGGAGCTTGCATTGATGAGATGATTTCTTGCGGAGAGACTGGTGGTAAATCCAAGGCGAGAGAACGGCCAAAATCCAAGTCCAAGGCCTTGTGTTCTCTTGGAGAGTGCTGTGCCTGTGGAGACTCCACTGGCCGAAGTCCATCGAGCAACTCACCCCGAAGTCCATCGGAACCGCCGTTGCCACCAGCTTCCGCACGAGTTCCCTTTTCAGTCGAATACTGAATGGGCTCAGCAACCACATCTTCAATGGCATCTCGCCACACGCCAGCAGCAATACTTTCTATCGCTGAAGCTGGGCGCACATGTTCAAGGGCACACTTCGTGAGTTGGCCTTTGTGACTAATGTAGGCACTGCTATTGCCTTCAATGGCCACAACAAGTCCAGGGCCATGCCAACGTCGAAGTGAAAGCTTGCGGCGACTTCGTTGAGTCTTGTTGTTGTACTTGGTCATTCTCCAATAGAAAACCAAATCACCAGGCGCTGGAGCTTCTGTGATGGTAGAGGTCCTGGATCTTGCAAGCTCTGCTTTCCTCAATCCCCTTGAGACATGCAGTCGGCACATGGCAACCTTGGCAGCCTCTCTCATGGCAAGTTGACGAGCAAGGCTAGGACGATCATCAAGTGAGACGGGCTTTGGTACTAAGTGCATCGCCAAACTGGCGAGGTTGCCTGCCGGTCGCTGCTTGAAGGGGCGATACGCCTGCATCTGTGACATCAGAGTTGTATGCAGCTACAGTACAGCTTCACTCAGACCAAGTTCCATCTCACTTGAACCAATGATTGAATGGACGGCCACCAGGGAAGGGACAAGCGTCCTCAGGATGCCTCCAGAGCGTTCAGCCACGCCGTTCATCCAAGGAGCTTGCACAGGACAGTGCCGCAGGAGTATATCTTGTTCCCCTGCAAACACTCCCAGCTGATGAGCTCACGTCCCTGATCGGCCACAAGCACACGTGGCGGTCCGAGGAACGGAAGCCACTTTGTCTTCAGGAATCTGATGACGGCATCTGAGCTCCTGTTGGGAATGATGTCTGCCATCTGGAAGCGAGAGGCCGCATCAGTAGCATGGGCAACAACGTACTTGTGCTCATTGATGTCGAAGATTTCAAGTAAATCCACATGAACTTGATCACCTACATCGCGAGGCGTATGCAAAGATGCTGGGCGCCTCACCTTCGGGCCCTTCTGCTCCATGCACTGCAACGGTGACGTTTTGCAGCCACCACAGCCTCAGGAGGTGCACCCGCCAATGCCACTGCACGAGCAAGCCGTCGATTGCTTCTGTGTCCAGTGTTTTCATGGAGACGTCGAATTGTTTGCTCCAGCTGAGCAGGGACCTTGTAGCCAGAGAACTCACTTTCTTCGACATCAGAACCTTCACTACCAACTTCATCTGCAAACAGGCCGCCAGGATCTTCTTCTACAACATCACCGTTGGCTGCACCAGAATCCAAAGCCAGGGCTTCTTGAACTCGAGCATGATCCTTCTCAAACTGCTTCTCCATGCCTCGCAACATGGCGCGTGCCAGTTGAGGCGAGTACAATCCCGCATGAGACGTGTACTTGGAGCCGCCCATCACAGGGACATGGGTATGATCACGCATGCAAACTTTTCCATGCAGTTCTGAGATGACCTCTGGAGACGAAGATGCCATGCCACCGTTGTAGGGTTCTTGTGCAGGCCAGAACCATCAAGGCTCTTGAGCTTATAGCGACACTGATCAAACTTTACAAGACAAACATCAGGTTCTTCTTCAAGAAACTTCATCATGGAAGGCTCGTGCCACGCAGAGCTGCCCCCCAAAACATAATGTCTTCCCCCTTCACGCTGGATACGACAGAGTTGAAGTCCAAAATCCATGAGAACTCTGCCATCTTCTTGTCTTTGCTTCAAGGTAGAGGAAGGACGAAGGCGTTGAAGAGGGCTAAAAGGACCACTAGTAAAGGCTACAACAAGAAACTCAGGCTTCTCCTCTTTCAGCTTGTCAATGGCTTTCTGCCGGTGGGCTGGATTGAGGAAGTCGCAACCTGTGTCAAGACTCAAAGCAGAGCCTATCTTGTGCCCGCGTTTGCTAGCTTCCTTGAGGACTCGCTGGCTGGTCGTGTAGACCTCAGAGACAAACGGCTTTTCATCACATGCTGTGAGGTCAATGGCATGGAGGAAGGCCTCATCAAGGAAGCCGTCAAACTCATTCTCATAGTCACGAACCATCACTTCAAAAACCTCTTTGGCTGACGTGGAGACTTTGCGATGATCACTGCAATGCTGATTCCAGGCCTGTGCAACCATCAGGCCAATTCCAGGCTTCACTTTTGCATTGATTGTGAAAGGATTCCATGCAAGGTCACCAGCATGGATGGAGCGCCCGGCTGCTTCGGAGAGAGTGCCGGATGCACTTGGGGCATTCTCGGAGGAGAATCTGCCATCCGCTTATCGTCGCCCATCACACGTTCCCACTGTTCCGTTGACATCACGTGTTGGGTGACTTGCTCCATCATCAACCGGAACTTTTGATCTTGCATGTCCAGCATTGAACCTGATCCAGAGAAACACCTGGATTCTGAGCTGAGCTGGCCAATGCCTTGGGCTGTGGGCTTTCGAGCCCAGGAGGGGCCGATGAACTTGCCGTGGACGCCGTCTTTGGTGCCGGCTTGGCCATCAGAGCTTGGACCATGGGGCAGCAGACTGCTTTGATCTCTTCGTTGGTGGCCTTTGGGGCCAAATCGATCTTCAACGAAGCTGCCAATTGTAGAAGGTCTCGACGGATCGTCGGAAGTCCACCTTGGTCCAAGAAGAGTCCGGGCCATCTCTTCGGTCTTGCCCTCCGCGCTGGCTTGCTTGGCCTTTTCCTCCGCCTCTTTCATGGCGGCCTTTCGAATGGCCAGCGACATGCCCTTGCTGGACTTGGCGGCCAGCAATCCCATCAGCAATGGATCCTCCAGAAAGGCCCACTCCAGCCCCACCTTGTTGCGGATGAAGTGCAAGTCCTTGAGATTGGATGTCGTAAAGGCCTGCAGCTTCGAAGCTCGAGTCAAATGAGCTTTGGGCAGGGATCCATTCTGAACCATTTGTGCGGCCTGCATACTCCACTGGCCTGGAGTTGCCACCGAAGCGTAAGGGAATGGCACGTAGCGCAAGTATGAGCGACGTAAGAACCAGCATTGGATGCCGTGGGCGTGCCACACTCGTCGATCTTGAAGACGAAGGAACATTCGCACCCACTTTTGCTGATGCTTCAGTGGAGTTTCTGGTTCTGCCGATCCGGCGGCCGCTTCCATTCTTCAAAAGGAATGCGAGATCTTGGAGACCGAGTCGTAGGAGAAGATGTTGTCGTGAAATTGCTCGTTGGTGAGCCGGTCATAGCTTGAACCGACACATCACAAACCATGTTACCAACTTGGATGCTCCCTTCAGTCAGCAGGTGCTCGTGCAAATCATCAGATCGTGAGTTCTGCATGGATAGCTTGACTCTCGACCAATCAGGGGTTGTCAACTGAATTTCAACCACACCGTCAACACCCAACTTCCGCCATTTTTCAGGACCCAAGCCTGGCCAAAGTCCATCTTTGGGCTGCAGGTGAAGCATGAAGTGACCTGCCATGAGTTGCTGTAGATGAACGACTTGAGGCCCAAGAATGCTAAACACAATGGTCTTCTTGGCAAAGGAGAGGGTGGAGCCGAGGGATTCCAAGAAGTCACGACCCAATAGCAAACCCAAAGAAGGCACAGGGACAACTGAAACATTGATGCAAATCAATTGACCCCCAAGTACAATGGGTAGACGCCATCTTTCTTGACTGGATTGAGTTCCACCATTTCCAAAATGAAAAACTTCTCGCTCAGCAAAACACTTGATCATACTCTGGACATGTGCTGGGCTATCTTGCAAAGCTTGAAGATACGTGGAAAGCCAAGTGGTGCCAGTCACAGTCCTATTGCATGCCGTATCCAATGCCCCAACAAAACGTTTGTCCCACGAGAGCACATGTGGAGAAGCTGCATTGAGTTCATTGCTGTGAGACTCAAGTGCACCTCGCAGAGAATGTCGATTGGGTTCATGACTGGCCATCTGGATTTCGTGCACGACAGCTTCAGGAATCATGCTGTCAGCCTCAACTTCTGCTTGCAGGGCTTCAGCAATCTTCACATGCTTGACAGGTTTGGCATGTCCAGGCTTCTTGGTGCGAGCTAGACCAGCACCAGGTTGACGACATTCTGCATCTCCAGCCCAGTGTCCTGGAAGCCCATAGTCAAAGCATGGGTTCTTTGGGATCTTCTTGGACGAAGGCGTAGTGCCTTCTTCAACGAAGACGACCCACTGCCAACTTTCCCATAGCCCCTGTCACGCTTCACTTCGCTCAGCTTGATCCGAGCTTCTTTCATAGTAATCGAGGCTTCTGCCGCTCCTTCAACTGACTCCTCCAGATCTTCAATGAGATGCGCATCAACACATTCATTGACAGCCTCTTCCGACTCGGCAGCCAGAATGTCTGCCTCAGTCTGCAAAATCTCTTCCAAAGCCAAGTCCCCTTCAACCTCAGGGGTCTCATCAGCATCGACACTGTCATCGGCTTCATCCTCTGGTGGATCAGCTTCCGTTGCCAATGCTTGACGTCCGCCATCCAAGTTGCCCGACTGTCTCAAAGGAGGCCGAGATGATAAGGGAGCACTAGACCGGAAGGATTACACAGAGGAAGAGGACTGAGTGGCTGCTGAAGATGGGATAGAGCTCCTAGAGGACATGGAAGAACTTGGTGGTGCAAAAGGCTTCAATGTATTGCCACGGCCACCATCACCCAAGCGTTTGTACAAGGGATCAGCTGTGTGCAAATCTTTAAACAAACGCAGGACTTCTCGTTCAATGCCTTCGTATTCTTCCTTTCCAGCAAGTCCGGTTTCTAACAACTGTTTTCGCAACGGGTCCAGCCCCAATTTATCACGAAGAAACCATCCAAGTTCAGAACTCGGCAATGCCACACCTTCAGCACGAAGTTCCGAAACCAGCATCCTAAATCGAGTGCAAAATTCAGAGATCCTCTCACGTGGACGTCTACGCAGCTCATTGAAAAATTGGCCACGCAACTCTCCACGCTTGTCCAAGGACGTTCGACCTGTCATCTCTTCCAGCGCACGCAGCAATTTGTTGATACCAGCTAATGGGTGCTCCGGAGTCAGGACATAGGATTCACCAGTCTGCGGATCAGTTGTTTTCACCTCAGGCTGATGTGCTAACTCTTCAGGCAGGAACTCTTCTCCTCTCTGTCTGACCACTCCTGATTGACGTGAGAGCCATCTCGCAGCCAGGTTATACTTTGTAGTTGTTGAATGGTCCAATCCAGCCAACCACCAAGACATCTCCCTTTTGAATGCTCTCCATGTCTGTGGTGACCCATCCCAAGTGGGTACAAAGCTCCATGCACCTCCGCCGCCGCCCTTCTCACCATCCGCCATTAGCCCGGCGGTCGGCACAAAAGGTGAAATACCAGCAAAAATTGAAACACGTGAATTCCCAGTTGCTTCCAGTCAAAGGTTACCTTGTATCCAGTTACAACTGCTGTTTGGCCCGAAAGCAGTCAGTCTGAAGTGGGGCTCACCGCACGGTTACCCACAGCCACCAAATGCCAAGCCACTTGCAGAGTTGATCAAAGAAAGCAAAGCGCAGCGGTTAACGAATGCCCAATGATGCAACCAGCTCCGAGTACCACTGTTAATGCAGGGTGTTGAGGCGCTCGCCAAGACACAATGCAGGCAGCTTTTCCTCAGCGCAAACCGAGACCATATGGCGTTAGGCCTAAGAAAATGCGAGGGGCGGTTCGAGCCACAAATCAGACGATGCATTCGGATGTGACCTCGGTGCACTGTCAAATGCAAGTCTTTACAAAATGAGAGGGAGGCTGACCTTCTTTAAAGGATGTATTGCATCTGTCCACATATTGTACTTTTCTGAAAGATTACCGCTGCTTATTTAAGGGGGTACCTTGTCTTCAACGCAATTACTGAATTTTGACGAAGTTAAGTCTTCCTTAAACAATGGTCATGCACGCAGGATGAGAAGAAGGCTGAGCTCCATTAGAGGATGTATAGCTCATCTTTCCACACTTCTAGTTTTCTTGCTCAGAATAGTGAATAGTGTTTCTTATTTGAGGGAATATCTTGTCTTCAAGGCAGACTGTAACCTGTAAGCAGCACTTTCCTTTAACAACAGTCTTTCTTTTTCAAGGAATGCTGCAATGTGCATCGACCATTGCACTTGTGTCACTGCAATACTGAATGTTAATCAGACACTGAAGATTGGGGAGGAATCTGGTGTTCGAAAGAAATACTGTATGGTTAAGGCTGAATAATTGTCTGAAAGGAAGACTGCACTTCTCCAGAAAGGAACACTGCATGTTTAGAGGAATGCTCTATATTTTGTAGGGATACTGCTTCTTTACAGGGCTCCACTTTCTTATTTTGTTCTTTACTTTTGTCTACTACCTACGTTTTAGATGCTGTTTTGGAAGGATATATCTAGCTATATTATGTGTATATATATATATAGATACATGATTATACATGTGTATTTGTTATCTTTGTGGCATTTTTCATCTGAAAAGGTGGGTCTTGGGAGGGTGTAGCATAGCTATATGATGTGTATATATATATGTGTGTGTGTAATTATATCATGTTTTAACCAAAAACGAGTCTTCACTCCCAACCAAAAGGATGATGTTTCCACTGGTTTTTCTCAGCAGCTTCCCCATCACTTTCCCTGGTTGCTTCTCACCTCGAGGCCAAGAGGTCCTCATCCAACTCTTCGTCCAAGCTTGCCATCCCGGTCCATGGTAAGAATCGAATGTTTGGGTTGCTTCAGTACCCTCTGGTAAACAAACATAGCTATTGAAAATGGCCATAGAAATAGTTGATTTACCCATGAAAAATGGTGATTTTCCATAGTTATGTTGGTTTACCAGAGGGTATTGTCATTTCACCCTGCCCTGCTTGGACTGCATCATATTGGACGTTCACCCAGTTACACTCTCCGTCGGTAGCTGTCTCGTTTCCATGTCTTTGCGGTGTTTGTTTTGCAGGACACTTGGGTGGAATAGCAATCTTGGCCATGGATGTCTTCCACCGATAGAATTGCACACGTTATGTCTATCCTGTTGAGCCAAATCTTCGCAGCGAATCCATCAGATCCAGTCCGCATGGGGTCTCAATCAGGAAGGGAACGTTTAAAACTCCCCTCTGACCTCTGAACCTAGTTTCTGCGCACTTCAAGGCCATTCTTCCGGGCGCACCCTCTCGTGGCTCACAATCAGCTTTTGAAGGTCGCAGTCAGATGTTAGCCTCAACGAATTGGAAGCATATGAAATGCAAAATCAAAGACCTATGTCTCAAACTTCATGGCCTTGTCTTAGCCGCCGCGCTTTGCAATCAAAACCAGATATCTAGATTCTAGATGTGACAGATGTGGGCAACTGAGAAGGCAGCATGATTCCGTTTTGGACCAGGAACTTCTCATAACCTCAGCAATGCAACTTTGCAACTGCTTTTATTTCGAACCGCCTGTCAAATTGGACTTCAAATCTGAGGACGGCACCCGCACGATCCAGCTCACCGCTGATGAACATACCTCGTCGGCACTTCTTGCAGCTAAGAGAAAAGTAATGGGATACCCCAAAATAGGTTGTTTATAATGGAAAATCCTATTCAAATGGATGATTTAGGGATACCCCCATTCATGGAAACCTCCAAATGGACCCAGACCAACAAACTCAAACACGGAAGAGACCAAGTTTACTCAGTGCTAGACTTAATTCCAAGACCAATCAGTTGCATCTCCATCCCCTGGCCCAGTGTGGCCCGGTCTCCAGCCACTGAGTAGTGTGCGACTCGCAGTTCTCATCATGTCCCGTCCTCAGCAAGAACAACATCCAACTCTTCCAAGCCGCAAAATTCCTGGCAACACAAATCATTTGGAGTTTGGACATCCGATTTTTCCCAAGGTTGATGGTTGATCATCATATTCCCCAGGAAAATGCCCTTATTTGGGGAAAAAATCAGATTATAATGGTGGTTGTTTGGGGAGAATGCCATTATATATTATGCAAAAGACAAACCATCATAATTTGATCCCCATTATATCCCCATTGTAATGCCATTATACCCATCAAATATCTCCCCATGATATCCCCACTGTCATGACACACCCTGAAGTCAGCAGGCACCCGAGACGCCCGACCGCTATCACCAGCTGGCTCCTACCCAGGCTGACATCGCACCACCAGTTCTGGATTTCCCATGAAAAGCAGGCGAGAACCACTGGAAAACCCTCATTCCATCCACTGGTCAATCATCATTTCCTATTGCTCCTTGCCATCAAATGGGGAACATCATTTTCCTTGGCTGAAAGATCATTTTCACACATGCCTGGCGGTGAACCAACGGATTGTTGATCGAAGGATCGTTGCTAGGCACCACCAAGTTGCTTTGGAAGGGCCCCAAGGCCTAGACAAAATGACAGCCGGCTTCGTTCATCAAAGGTCAGCTGGTCAAGTTGAAGTTGATTCATCTGTATCTGAAGGCATCTATAGTGGGATATAATTATTGGGATACATTGGGAAAATATTGGCAATATACTGCAGATCTATTGGGGATATAACTGGGATGGGGATACAATCATAGGGGAGGCATCCCAAAAACAGTGGCACATCAGATTGGAAACAATAGCCCCTATGTAAATCAACTGTCAATCAACCCCAGGTACAGTAGTTTTGATCATGAGATCTTCACCCAACGGGACCTGCATCTTGCTTGCCAATTGTCCGGCCTGGCACCAAGGCTTTTTCCGGTGCCAAAAAAAAATCACCAGCTACCATGAGGGCAATTACCCAAAACGCTGCGAATTTACAGGATTCTAACTCTGCAAGTGCGAAAATCCAGGCTGGAATAGTTTTGTCGATTTTTTGCCTAAACACTGGAGTCACTGGAGGCTTGGCAACTGGATGAAAACAACAGATCCCACCTTCACGAAATCTTCGCCTGAAATGTCAGTGTGCGGTCTGCAGTGATCACCTGGCGATGCCCGGCCGAAGGCAACCCATTCATCCCGAGATTGGTTTCGTAGTTTTTTCTCCTTTGGCTGTGTGTCAAATTTGATGAATTAGTACGGGTGTGTATTTAAATATACACATATCCGCGGCGCAACATGAGCCCAAGGGCGACTACGGTTACGTCATGCTGGTTCTACTCCAGCATGGAGGTTGAAAGATAAAATCGGAAAAAAGTGCCGTTTTGACACATTTTTCGAATTACAACATTTTTGGCGGGTTGATCGCAAAAAATGCTAGTATTTACAATGTTTTTGCAATTTCAAGAAAACGTGGAAGGCACGAAACACTGTAAATAGCGGTGTTTTGGCAACTTTTGGACGCCGAAACGCTGATATTTAAACCGGTTTTTGCCCGTGACGGCGCCAAACCCTTGTAAATTACAGCATTTTTTTGCACTTTTTGAACCACTTTCGAGGACTAAAACGTGGTATTTACGCGGGTTCTTGCCATCTGACAGAGATTACAGCATTTTGTGCGCTGTTTCTGTTTATTTTCTAAACGCGCGGTGCTTTCACATGTTCTTTGCATTCTTCCACAAGAAACAACATTGCTTGAAACTGGACCACAGCGTGACCCGAATGAAAGCTGGAGGGAGGAGACGCACAGAAGTTTTTACACACACAGGGTTTTTTACGCAGAGAAGTCTTTACACAAAGGAGTTTTTTACATACAGAAGGTTTTACACAGAGAAGCCTTTACTCGCAGGAGCTTTTGCAGACAAACGTCTAGGAGTTTCTACACACAGAAGTTTTTACACGAAGAAATCTTTACACAGAGGGTTTTTTACACACAGACGCGTTTGCACACGGAAGTTTCTACACAGAGAAGCCTTTACACAGAGGAGTTTTTACACACAAAAGCGTTTACACACAGCAAGTTTTTACACACACACAGAGGTTTTTACACAGAGAAGCCTTTGCACAGAGGATTTTTTTACACACAGAAGGTTTTACACAGAGAAATGTTTACTCTAAGGAGCTTTTGCGCACAAACATCTGAGTTTTTACACACAGCAGTTGTTACACAGAGAAGTCTTTACACAGAGAGTTTTTAACACACAGACGTGTTTACACACAAAAAAAAATTACACAGAGAAGCGTTTACACCGAGAGTTTTTCCACACGGAAGCTTTTACACACAGAGAAATGTTTACACAAACGCGTTTTCACACAGAGAAGCTTTCACACACACAGAAGGAAGTTTTTACACAAAGACGTCTTTAAACAAATTGGTTTTTACACACAGAATTTTTTACACCAAAGTTTTTACACAGAAAGTTTTTGCACAAAGGCGCCCTTACACGAAGTAACAAGTTGAAATTGGCAGCAATTCGTTAGGAAAAACCCTTCGCAGGAGCTTTCGGGAACTCACTTGCTCCCCCAAAAACCGTCTATTTCCAACAAATATGTTCCAAACAACGTAAGGAATATTTCTGAAGCAGGTCCTCATTCAATAGCTTTCAGGCCCACACTGCGATGAAATGGCGGGTCGAGTAATCCGGCGGAGCCGACGCTGAGCGTCAGCTCAAATATATATATATATGTATATGTATGTATGTATCTATATATATATATGTGTATGTATGTATCTATATATATATATATGTATGTATGTATATATATATATGTATGTATGTATGTATCTATTATATATATATGTATGTATATATATATATATATGTATGTATATATATATATGTATATGTATGTATGTATATATATATATGTATGTATGTATGTATGTATGTATCTATATATATATGTATGTATGTATGTAACTATATATATGTATATGTATGTATGTATATATATATATGTATGTATGTATGTATCTATATATATATGTATGTATGTATGTATGTATATATATATATGTATGTATGTATGTATCTATATATATATATGTATATATATATATGTATATGTATGTATGTAAATATATATATGTATATGTATGTATGTATATATATATGTATGTATGTATGTATCTATATATATATGTATGCATGTATATATATATGTATATGTATGTATGTATATATATATATGTATATGTATGTATGTATATATATATATGTATATGTATGTATGTATATATATATGTATGTACGTATGTATCTATATATATATATGTATGTATGTATGTATATATGTATATGTATGTATGTATATATATATATAAATATATGTATGTATGTATGTATATATATATGTGTATATGTATGTATGTATATATATATATGTATGTATGTATGTATCTATATATATATATGTATATATATATATATATATGTATATGTGCACGTGTATGTACCTATATATGTATCTATAAACATACATGACTATATACAAAAATATGGAGGAAAAGCTGTGTATATGTTCAACAACCACGCCTTTTAGGATTTTGAGGGGGTAACCGGTTTGGACCCATACAAGTGCACCAGCAGGCCTCTGAGGGTTGGAGGTTTTGGTGATCCGGCGTTGTCGGTGATGATGGCTTTGGCCTTCCCAAACGAAAGTTTGTCCGGGTTAAGGCATACTATACATACACACATGAAAATACTCATATCTAAATTTTCTATATATATATAATATTATATATATATATGTATATATAGTTGTGTGTATATATATATATATATCCAGCAACTTTAGCGATTCCATTTTTTGTGAAACATACAGCAACTTTAATTTCGCAAAACTTTGGCGATTCCATGGCTATCTTTTGCGGGACCCTTGCTGGATGCATGATATCAAACCGTCGCAAAACTTTCCCACAACAAATTTTCCTTTCGGATTCCGAAAAATAACACGTTCGCAAAAATCAATATTACGGATCGTCACAAGAACCTTGAGATTATATATATATATTATTTATTTATATATTTATATGTATATCCGCAGACACCTGCGAGCACAACGATACATACATGCATTACATTACATGGCATGACATTACATTACATAGCATAACATAACAAAACGTTGGATAACATCGCCCAACATTACATACTTGCTCAGAACTGTCATTGCGAATTTTGTTGTGGAATGCATCTGACGTGCAAAAACACTTCCATTACACCTGACAGGAACGGGTCAATGAAGAGACCCGAGAAATGTTATGGAGCAATCATCGCCATAGCCAGTGTTGTTGCCAGAGTGAAAAAGTTGGAGAGGTCCCAAATGATCGACACGCCGCTTCTGGGCTTAGCCGCTTGCCATATATGATGAAACAAACAATGCAAAAAGTTTTGAACTGGCAGGTACGTGACTCCAGCGTCCCAGAGTTATATCAGTCATGAATGCAGCCCTCTTCGTTGGGCAATCAGCTGCAAACCTTCAATGTCTAGCTTTTGAGTGATGATCACTCTGGGGAAGTTGTTCCCGGTCACCCTGCCAATTTTCGTTCAGGTCAAACCCATAAACTCTGGAAGCTTCTGTTGTGCCAGAGTTGGAAATGGGACCGGGCTGAGAAGGGGACACATTGAGGTTGAGAGGCAGGGAATGGGTGGTGGAGGCATGGACGGTGGAGTTGGTGGAAACGGTTGGGGCATAGTTCGGCACGGTGGCCACTTCGGTACGTTCTGAAGTCTTGGCATGGTTGGTAAGGACCGGACTGCTGAGCCCATAGGGCCACACCATCTGGGAAAGCAAGGGATTGCCTGACGTTGCCCTGGTTGTTCTTGTCGATTGCAAGGGGGCGAAGGCGAACGAGAGCAGTCAGAGTCGGCCATGGTATCAACACTCGGACGCAATTGACTGGTCAGCTGTGATAGCTTTAACAAGCTATGCAGCAGGCGGTGCCACAAGAGGAGGTCCCACAACAAGACATCTCCAAGACCCCAGGATTTGATTACACATCAGAAATCCCCGTTGGTTGAAACTAAAAAGAACCACCGGTTCAAGAAAAACAACACCAGTTCGTAGTGCCATGAGAAGGTGTAAAACAATGAGACTGAAATCGCGCGCAGCAGTGAAACTTGAATGAGAATGACACGTCAACAGATGCAAACAGAAAACGGAAAAAAGAAAGCAATCAGAAGCACTAACAAGAAGGTTTCACCGATTGAGGCAACAGTGCAGGGACACGTTTTGCAAAAATGGTTGTCCCGGAAATCCGAGAAAAGCAAAATCCAGTTTCTGGTTCCGAAATTTGCCTAAATGCCTAAATCCAAAATCAGCTGGTCTCATTTGTGGTCAAGTCAAGAAGGTCATCCATTGGGTAGGTGGATCCAAGTGTCACTCCTGAAAAAGGTGGTTCGACCTCGTCTTCCTCGGAATCTGACTGAGGTCCTGACGTAAGTTGGCCCCAGGTCGCCACCAAGAAGCAAATGCTTCTACGACGGCTATGCGTCAGGGTGTGCTTTTCTGACGTGGCCCATCGAAGGAATCTTCAACTGCGCCATGTCGTTCCCTCCAGCACTGAGACTCACATGGGCTTCTTTGCCCTTGTAAAAGGCTCCAATGAGTATCCCTTCCCCTTCTTCGCCAACAAGCCCAAGGCTGCCCACTGGGGCACCTGGATGTCAGGCCAAGCCTCTATCCCCAAAGCGTAAGCTCCAAAGGTTGGGAGTTGGGTATGCTTGAGATCCGGATTGAACGTCCAGTCAGCAGGATGGATAGGTCCTTCCAGCAAAATGCGCTGAGAAGCTGTAACCGAGGTTCCATGGATCAGCACCTGGACGAGGCTTAAACCTCTCCAACCCTGGCATCGGAATTACCACGGCGTTTTTCTTGGTAATTGGAAGGTTCTTTGCATGACGAAGGTTGACTGAGTCAAGAAGGCCGGCACCTGCGAGGACATGGGTAACCAGCTTAATCTTGTGAGAGGGGGTGTAGCCGACTCAAGCAAGGCCTTGCTGACCGTTTGCAGCGGTCGTGGACGTTTGTCCTCATGCAGGAAGCTCACAGGCTGCCTGAATCCTGGATTTGTGGTTCAGCGCAAACAGATCCATTTCATGAGAGGATTCCAAGTTTGTGAGGTAGACTTCACCCTCTTGAAGTTGATCGCCACGGTCAGAACGATGAGATTTCTGATCTTTTGGTCTGCCTGACTTTTGAGTGTACCCAAGCTTGTAGGAAGTGCGAGAGGGCTTCTTCTTGTCTTGGGAATCATTGTTGATAGTAAGAGGATTTGTCGGAATAAGCCGTACTGGGCTTGGACGTGGAGGTGGGCTGTGCCGCATGGAGAAGGACTTGATGGGACTGTGGGTCATTGTGGTCATATTGGACGGATTGACCGTATTGACCCCATTGGTCATATTGGCCATAGTTCCAGCCATATTGTTGGTCTTGGTTGTGGCTGATGTCTTTTGTAGCAGATCTGTAGATAGCTTCAACCACCAGAGCTTTGGCGAGGTGGCCAAACCAAAAACTCCCTTCAAGATCTCCACCAATTGCCCAGGCCGTAAACCAGGGATGCCTCTTGCAGGCTGACGGAAGAATAGCCTCCTAGAAGACTGCACCCCGTTGAGAAAAGCCGCCCTGATGTCACCAATGCGGATGGTCCACCCTGGAGATAGAGCCACCACCAGCCCGAGGAGCAAAGAGTGCCTGTTGACGGTCGGAGCATCCACCGCCATGTCGACCACTCCAAGATCAGGGTCCTTTTCCCTGGCCAACTCACTGGAATGTTCCTAGTGATGTTTGGGACTCCCTTGAGGGTAGCCCTTCTGCCAAATATGCTGCTTTGTGGAAAAACCTTGAGCAGTCTGCTGAAAGTGTATGGCCTTTTGTGCCTAGCGAGCATTCGAAGGGTCGAGCCCAAACCTTTTGCACGACAAGCGAGGTAGGGTTGCACCAGTCCGTGTTGGCCGTAGTGACTTTCAGCCACCGTTTCATGGGGCGTCCTTTAGACATGCCCAATGGGTCCGACAAGTGCGTAGGTCGTCCGTGAGCGTAGCCTCAGAGAGCTTTCCCGTGGTGATTGAGAAGGCTGTCTATGACTTTTCATGGAATAAGTCGACTTGGTACGTCGCCGAGGTGGACTGCGATGGTGGGAGACAGGTCGTTTGTCCAAACGAAGGACAGTATCCTCACGGTAGTGGTCTCTGGTGTGGAGTGGTGAGCGTGATCGACGGTGTGGGACAGGTGACCGTGGAATGTTGGAAGGTTGTGGAACGCCAGGTGGCGCCAGTAGTGGTTGTGGTGGAAGGGTAGGAGTAGGTGGCGTAGGAAGGGTTGGAGCTGGATGGGCGTCTTGAAATTGGCGGAAAGTGTTCATCATCTCCTCTTTGAAGTGGCTTCGAATCTTCTGGACCATCTCGACAGTGTTGAATGGAGGTGGATGTGGAGTCTTTACTTCAGGTGGAACCTTCGGCTGTGGAGGTTCCGATGGTGGAGGAGCCTGTGGAGTAGGTGATGATGAAGGAGCTGTGGGATTAGGAGGTTGCAGGAATTGTTGAAGTAGGTGGATGTGGGACGCAGCTTGAGTGGCAAGTTGTTGGTTGAGAAGAGCATTTTGCTGCTGCAAAGATGAAATCTGAGCTTGGGACTGCGCCTGTTGTTGCATCTGAGGATCGACTCCATTGAAATGTCCACCCATGCCAGGAACTGGAAGAACACATGTGTTTGCCGTCAGAGTCCACATGGGTTGCATCATCGGATCCGGATTGGATGTAGATGGACTCATCCATGATCGAAGTTCCACGGAAACAGGAACATGGCAGAAACGTAGGAGTCAGATGAAATCTGAGGCAACAGTGTCAACAAAATTGACGCATCCACAAACAAATGCAAAGAATCGCGATAAGGCTCCAGGCCCTCAGTGGTCAAGTCAACCCATAGACGGCTGTCAATAGTCCCCAGATGAATCAAGTGCACAGTTGAACCTCACCAACGACCATCACAAGAAAGAAAGTACCAAACCTGGAATGCATGTACCTACCTGTAACATCAATCATGTTGCATATTGCGACAAAAGCTGGGCAGTCTCTTGAGCATCATTGAAAAGGAAAGTTTTCACGGCCGACAACACCCACTTCGGTTCAGTATCCCTTCATGCAGTTCCCTCCGAGACAAAAGGTGGGTCCCCAAACAGCGGGCAGCAGTTCAACACAACGATATTCGACAGGGTGAGAAGTGAGAAGCGAAAAAAAAACCCACTGTTTCACTTTACTTAAACGAATTACCAAATTTAAGAAAGTAAATTCAGAGATCAGGTCGAAAAATCAAACTTCCTACCTAGACAGGTATTCCCCGAGGGGCTCACGCCATCTTGTCAAATCGCCGTGAGTAACACACTTCCTCAGAACTGTCATTGCGAATTTTGTTGTGGAATGCATCTGACGTGCCAAAGCACTTCCATTACACCTGGCAGGAACGGGTCGATGAAGAGACCCGAGAAATGTTATGGAGCAATCATCGCCATAGCCAGTGTTGTTGCCAGGGTGGTTCTGGGCTTAGCCAGTTGCCATATAGGATGAAATAAAAACTGCAAAAGGTTTTGAAATGGCAGGTACGTGACTCCAGCGTCCCAGAGTCATATCAGTCATCAATGCAGCCCTCTTCGTTGGGCAATCAGCCGCAAACATGAGATTGCCCCCCTGCAAATCTGAAACGCAATGAAATGAAATCAAAACTTAAAACAGAATACCGGAATTCCAACAGGTTAGAAGCTTTACATCTCTTCAGATGGTTCACACACACACACGTACAATACAGGCATACATATAGACAGACAGGCAGACAGGCAGATGCTCGCTATAGCCACTATAGCAACGCCGGGCTTGCAAATAGTATGTATGGGATATTGTACTGAAGATTCCAACATCTAGCAGTTTCGCAACAAGGATACACATCACCAGAAAGCGGATCGCGGTTTCATAGTCCTGATGGGATAGAGATGCCCCTGAGGCAAACTGCTGCAAATGGGCATCAGATACACCCAAATGCCAATGTTGAACCATTTTGACAAGGAAAATCAAGATTGTGGGAATAGACGTCTACATCATTGCTGACCTCTTGGCGGAAAAAGCACCAATCACTACTTCTTGTCTGCATAAGCACAGCAGCTGTCACCAGGCCTGATCATTGAAGACGTTGGGGCGTCCAGACTGCACAGCGTGACAGCTCACAAAGGCAACTTTAATGATGGCATGTGCAGTTGTCAAATGGCTGTGACGCTTTCAAGCTGATTAACAGTTGAAGGGTCGGGTACAATGTCAATTGCAAGCAGCTAGGAATCTCTGGAGTCCGCACTAGTGCGGCTGGCTCTTGTGGATCCTTCAGAAAGGACAAAAAAAATTAAGCGTGTGTCTCATGAATGCGATGCAAGCACCCCGGAATGGTCCTGGATCACCAAAAGCCTTCGTTAGTGGGGGAGGCCATGGTACCTCAAATTGAACGTTGTTCTCCTGAACTGTGATTCCATGTTGTTCTCTCAGCACACCGTGTCAAAATATCAAGTAACTAGACTTCATGGTTTGTGGCTTATTCTTGAATTCCAGGCCAAGCTTTTTTGTGGCTTCATTGACCAACTACCAACAGCTCCTCAAGTTTCCACCCAAATCTCTCCGCCCAGTCCTCTTGCAGCGCTCTTTGGAACTGAGTAAAGGATAGCCTGCCAGGTTCCCCAGAAGTTGATTCCCAGTGGCCCCAGCCACTTTGCCACATGAACCCCCACCTTCCAGAGCCAGCATCTATGGATGACAAGAGTCGTGCCTCAGCCATGTTTGCCGGAAGCCACTAGACTGTACCACTGAAACCGAACAATTGACAAAACACCAAGAATGTCTTCGTGCTGGGGGTGCATGCAATGGTCCAAAATCGTCGGCCAGCTGCCTTTGGTTATGCTTTTGTTGTCTGGTGGAATCTATGAGCCACTGCAACATCTGTCGTTTCTGGCACGAAATCATTCTGAAGTCTCCTGGCTTTGCCACGAACGTTACTCCGCCAGCTCACCACTGGTCACCATGGCAGCTCCGTTGGCCAAGTTCCAGGTGGTGAGGCCGACGACGGTGGCTGCTTCGCCGCTGGGTCTTTGAGTGGAAGACTTGGAAGGTTGTGTTTGCCACACCAAATCAATCAATGGTTTGGAAGGAAAATCTGAAGAAAACCATGTTTCTTTGACCATCAAATATAGGGCGTTACTATGCTTCACTGCCGATTTTGCCTTCATCCAAATCTGAGAATCGATCCGAAGTCTCCCACCGCGACATGAAAGCTGCCTCTGACGATGGACATCCACAAAACTGCAATCGCTTGCGGGGTTCTTCCCGCCTTGCGCTCAGTCGATTGCCCTGGACTCTAGCTCCGCTTTAGTCCAAATGTCTGCTTTCTCCCCTCTTGACGCAGTCAATTTGGAAAACATTTTTCAGATTTACCCGCGTAGGCTGTCGCAGCTGGCTCGTTCTTGTAAGGAGCCACGCGCCGCGGAGAACTTGGCCAAAGCTCCACGTTGGCACAGTCTTGTGATTCCTGATTTCAGCCCTCAGTCCCGTGTCAACATCATTCCGCGGTGCGCAAGGTTTTAACTGTTTCGGGCTTGTAGAATCATTGGGATCATTCGGGCACATACAGCTGCTGCCTCCAAACGTCCATGGAACGCCAGCACACACAGGGCAAATTGGATTCTCAAATCATTGGGAACCAGTTCTCCCTATGCACACCTCTGCAAAACTCGTGAGAGGGTGTTACGTTCGGGGTTACCCCTGGCCTGCCAGTAGCTTCGAAATTTAGAACAAAAATTGTTTATGGATATCCTGAGTATCTGATTGATTGTGTGATTTTTTCTCGGTGCCAAAAGACCAAGAAGCACGTGTGGCGTCAGAGGCATCAAATGGATTCAGCTTGGACATCTGGATTGAACCGTTCTAAGGTGAGACGTTTCGCCACCCGAAAGGTAAGCGTTTGGCCCACTCTGTAAATTTGGCCCAGGATTTTGCACATCTGCATGCCTTGCCCCCAAAGATGAAAGAATTGTTTTGCCGGGGACATGGGCAAATAGACCCACATGGTGCGATGTTTACAGAAGGGCTGTCAGACTTTTTAAGAACTGCGACATAAAGTTTTCAGATTGTATGTTGAGTGCCGGCTATTTAGATGGTCCGCAGAGATGAATTTTTTCGTGGATCCTGTCCAAAGCAGAGGCTGAAAGCGGCCTTATGACTTTAGGAAAAACGATTCACAAATCTTACACGGCCTGGCTCGCCTCCTGCACGCGGAGGCAAGGTGTTGAACAGCACTGCAGAAGCCCTCCAAAATTTTCATCTAGCTTGAGTCATACAACTTACCATAGTCTAAGTCATACAAATTACCATTGTCTACAAACAGAAGCTTGTTATTACCAACTTGAGAGGCAAGAAAGCTAGCAGAACGGTTCTATAATGTTGTACCGGAGACTGCTCAACTAAAAGAGGAGGGTCCAACCACCAAAGGGATGATGATGATGATGATGATGACGACGACGACGACCATGACGACGAGGACGACGGGGACGAGGACGCGGACGAGGGAGAGGACGAGGACGAGGACGAGGACGACGACGACGACGACGATGATGACAATGACGACGATGATGACAATGACGGTGACGGTGACGATGACAATGACAATGACAGTGACGAGGACTACAATGATCATGACAAAGCTCCTAATGAAGTAAGATGAACATGAAAAAGCTGAAGATCAAGATGCAGATGATGATAAAGATGACAAACCTGTACCTGCCCCCGAGGGGGAAGTGAACCTGGGCCTGCCAGCCGGGGGAGGGGGAGGTATCAGCTTGAAAGTTTCAAGGAATTCAACGTTCCTGGCTGCCTATTCCTTGCTGAAGCAAGAGCAACTTCAGCTAGCACAAGCTAGCTTTTGTGACAACTTCATACCGCCATCTTTCAAAGCCATCGTTAGACAAATTAGAAGGGCATTTCTTTTCGTCAAAAAAAACTGTTTCTTGACACTGCAAATTTCAAACCGACAAACAAAAGGGTCTCAACCCGTCTCTCAAGCCCCTACCCATCTAAACGACGAACTCGGTCACTGACAGGAAACCCTTGATGTTTTTGTTTTCTTCGCCCTTATACACAACCAGTTCGTTCAACCTGCTTCCAACCCATCACCCACAGTCTGTCCTTTTCCGAAGCGCGGCTCCAAACACACAGGTGGCAACGAGGACAATCTGCGCCTTTTTGTGATTAATACATCTAGCCCAAGAACCGTACTGCCGACACTCTTAGCAGTTGTAATCCCTTCTTTTGACATGGACATGGTCGTTGATGCTCCAATGACCTGAGTGCTCACAAATGCTTTCGGTATCACTCTGCAGCTTCACAACATCCACTGGAGCAGAGGAAAACGAACGAAATTCGATGGTATTTGCGTGAACCGCTGTCTGAGACAGAAATCATAGAAATCATAGAGATTCTGGGGTATGTCCGAAAGTGCCAGCTGATAACCCCACGTCCTCTAATTCCCATCCCAGAACCAGCCAAGTTCCAGGCCTTCTCGGCACCCCCGTTCCTTTGACGCGAATTTGCACCCCAAACCGCGACAGGAGTGCGGATGGCCGATGGTTCCCTTGGACACCACAATACTCCTGCGGCAGTGACTCACCCGGGCTGAATCACCCACGGTTGATCAGCAAGTGAATCACTCTGAGTGATTCAGCCGTTTCGCCCTGTTTGAGCTGTTTCAGCTGTTCAGCTGTTCAGTTCTTCATCATCTTCATCATCATCATCAATAGTAGAAGAAGAACCATCATCATCTTCAGCATCATCATCACCATCATCATCATTATTATCATCATCATCATCAAGATCGTCAGATTCATCCTTATCAGCATCAGCATCAGCATCATTATCATCAGAACCATCAGAACCATCATCATCATCCCAATGATCAGCAGCGTCATCATCATCAGCATCAACATCATCATCAGAATCACCAGAATCACCTAAATCACCTAAATCACCCATCATCATCATCATCATCATCATCAAAGTCGTCATCATCATCATCATCACCAATATCATCATCACCATCGTCATCATCATCATCATCATGGCCGTCATCAGCACCAACATCACCATAATCATCATCACCATCATGACCAATATCATCGAAATTACCCATCAACATCACCATGTTTTTCATCATCACCATCATCATCATCATCTCCTGCTTCATCAACCTCATCAGAAACACATTCATTGCATCACCATCATCATCATCATCATCACCATCACCATCATCATCATCATCATCATCAGCAGCAGCAACAACATCATCATGAGCTGCATCACCATCAACAGCAGCAACATCATGAGCATCATCATCATCAGCAGCAGCAGCATCACCATCATCATCACCATCATCGTCACCATCATCAGCAGCATCATGATCACCACAATCAGCAGCAACATCGATATCATAAGCAGCACCAGCGACCTTCATCAGCAGCATCATCACCAGCAGCAGCATGCTCGTCATCAGCGTCGGCATCATCATCATCATCATCATCATCACTGCCACCAGCATTGCCA